TGTAGTACCTCTGAGTCTGGAGAAGAAGATTTTTGAAATATTGGATAATTTTCCCTTTGGGGCCCCGCCCTGGCCCCAGGGGTTGGGGTAGGAATCCCAATTTTACAATTTTGAAGCCTCATCTACCAAGGATGATTCTGACCAAGTTTGAAAAAAATCCATCCACTGGTTCTTGAGAAGAAGTTGAAAATGTAAAAGTTTACGCACGACGCACGACGCACGACGACGGACGAAAAGCGATTGGAATACATACATTTTTCCAGTCACACCTCATTAAGACTTATCACCATGTTTAGATTGTCAAATGTCCTACAGGTTCGGTGATTAATAGAACTGTACTGCGTCTTATTGTTTCCAGTATGTAAATTTTATAACTCGGTGTGCTCATTACTCGGACAGCCATATAGGCTATTGCTTAACGTAGAATTGCATATTCGCAACTAGCGCCACCACTTTCCTTATATGTCTGACTTCTCCTTGTATTGAATCAGAATGAAAATGGGTGGGAGGCACCAGCGAAATGGAAAGGAACAGTTGGTAGCAGAGGAAAGAAAATATTCAGAATCTTGTAATGAGGGCAACACATCGCTTTTGGATTTTTCAGTGTCCCCTACAAAGAAGACGAAGAAAAAAATCGCGAACATAATTTTGCAGGGCCCAAAAATTGTCACCTCTATAAATTTAATGTACACATGTAAGGCCTTTTCTTTTCCCAAACCTGCACAGGTGATATCATACATGTATGCAAGTACAGTTCAAAACTTGCACCTTATACCATGCAATAACTAGGCACCACGAGTGATACAAATCCTCCATGTTCACACATTGTGACATATGTAAGCGAAATGAAGCTGCAAGAGAGATGACAAAGTTTTTTTCTCTAAAAATTGTAAGTGACCTTGACCTTCTAACAAGAGGGCCAAGGGCCTTATCGGTCACCTGAGTTATATCATAGTAGGTACGTACTGGTAGCTTTATTTTATTGTTTAGATGTGATGTGGAAATCAGCATGTAAACTAAGTGAAATACAATACTTGTCATGTCATCAAAGGATAAGAATTTACAATGCAATACTTTCATCCACCAAAGATGATTCTGACCAAGTTTGAATAATTTTCTGCTGAAAATGGATAAAATATACCCAAAAGTGTTATGTCATCCATGCAGAGAAAACAAGAGGCCCAATGGGCTTGAATCGCTCACCTGGTATTAATCTCACACTTGTAATCTTAAAAGTGGACTAAAATACAACTACAGGCAGAATCTCAGTGTTTGACTCATAAGAACCTATTAAAAGAAGTAAACATCTAGCAAAATATCATTACCCTGGACCTTTTGGTCACATCCAAGTATGTTACAGGCCAAATTTAAGCACCCTAGGGCTTTGGGTTAACTTATTCATAAAAAGTTGTTTAAAGGTTTTTAACATATTTGACCCCTGTGACCTTGAATGTAAGTCAAGGTCATTTATTTGAACAAACTCGGTAGCCCTTCATCCCAGCATGTTATTGGCCAAATATCACTACCCTAGGCCTATTGGTTATTCAGAAGAAGTTGTTTAAAGGTTTTGACTCCTGTGACCTTGAATATAAGTCAAGGTCATTCATTTCAGCATGTTACAGGCCAATTATCATCACCCTAGGCCTCTTGGTTATTCAGAAGAAGTTGTTTAAAGATTTTAACATATTTGCCCCCTGTGACCTTGAATATAAGTCAAGGTCATTCATTTCAGCATGTTACAGGCCAATTATCATCACCCTAGGCCTCTTGGTTATTCAGAAGAAGTTGTTTAAAGATTTTAACATATTTGACCCCTGTGACCTTGAAAATGGACGAAGGTCATTTATATGAACAGACTTGGTAGCCCTCCATCCCAGCATTTTACTGGTTCATCACCCTAGGCCTTTGGTTATTGAGAAGAAGTAGTTAAAAGTAAAATATTGACGACGGACGACTGCCGCTGCACCATGGCATAAGCTCACTTGGCCCTTTGGGCCAGGTGAGTTAAAAAAAAAAAAAAAAAAATATATCTCAAACTATTTGAAAAAGAATCTCTAAGTAAAATATAGATATGCAAATTTCTAAACCATGATAATGAAATACAAAACATTTTATTAAACGTAAATTACCCAAGCCAGAGAATTTCATCATTTGCCAGGTTTTCCCAGACACAAGCTGCTAGACAAAGATCGGTGGCATTGAGGTGGGAGAGAATGTTTAAGCTGAGCTCTGGAGGAAGGTTCTCAATGTTTGGGAATCTTGTTATTGTATGATTAGCGTTTTTGTGTTGATGGGTGACATTGGTGGGGTCATCAGTATCTGACAAGTCGGTGGGTCCGCAGTACCCCAGACGGTCTATTTCCTGTAGTCTGCGGAGTGTCTGGCCCATCCTGCCACTTCTGATTATGCTCCTGTTGTTATCCTGAAATAAATTTAGAGTTATGAATTATTTTTTAAAAATTCACTTATCTTGCAGTTATAATTATTGTCTATTCCTTCAACTTTACACGTTTTTTTTAATCTTCTCTATGAATATTGTACCAAAATCAGCTCTACTAAGAGAATAGATAGCAATGTGAATTTGGGTTAGTTAATGCTAACATTGAGTCGAATTTCAGGATTTAATAAACAAGCACATGACTCGAGGAATGGGTGACAATTAACAAATCATAAAATGACCAACGAATAGGAAATTACAAAGTTGTAACAAGAGGCTCAATGGGCCTGCATCGCTAACCTGGTATAAATCTCACCCTTGTAACCTTAAAAGTAATTTAAAATAAAGCTACAGGCAAAATATCAACATTCTGGGCATCATGGTTATTCAGAAGTAATTTAAAGATTTTAAACAAATTTGCCCCTGTGACTTTGAATAAATGTCAAGGTCATTAATTTGAACAAACTTGGTAGCCCTTCATCCCAGCATGATATTGGCCAAATATCATCATCATGGGCCTTCTGGTTATTCAGAAGAAGTTATTTAAAGATTTCAACATATTTGACCCCTGTGACCTTGAATATAGGCGAAGGTCATTCATTTGAACAAGCTTGGTAGACCTTCATCCTAGCATACTACTGGCCAAATATCAACACCCTAGGCCTCTTGGTTATTAAGAAGAAGTTGTTTAAAGTTTCAACATATTTGACCACCTGTGACCTTGAATATAGGCAAAGGTTATTCATTTGAACAAACTTGGCAGTGTTTCATCCTAGCATGTTAATAGCCAAATATCATCATCCTATCCAACAATTAAGCCAAACAAGGACACCGGTTTGAACCCAGAACCAGGGAGACCTGTTTGAACCCAGAACCAGGGACAGCTGTTTGAACCCAGAACCAGGGTTGCCAACCTCTAAGGAATCCATTGTGGGAGATCTCCCTCCACTGGGTTTTCTTTAGTGTGAGACTTTTGACGGCGTTGCGGTGTGACGTTGTTTCGGGTGTTGAGATAACATAACTATGTATCAAATAAATCCTAGCTTTCTCTGACTACTATAACATCTGCATTGTTGATCTTTTCACTTCAAGATCTTTGTAGGAAATAAAAAACAACTTTTTTTGCAGATATATATTAGATTTTTATTTATCACACAAACAACCTGACATCAGAAATGCAACACATTATAATCAAAGGCCTTTCTTGTGACGATTTCTCTCTTGGATAGAACAGGTACCAGTCACTTTTTTGATTTGCTGTCAATTTTGCTTTATGGCATGGGATGTTCCATGACATGTTAAGAAATAACAGTTCATCTTAAAAGCAAGAACTTTATCATAGAAGTTATATTAAAAGTTCATTAACATGAAAGATAGAAAAATATGATAATTTGACAATGGAAATTATTTTGGCTACTACCAAAGCAACAAATAGACCCTGATCATTTATTACTTGTTACCATGTTTGCAATCCGATTCAATTAATTTCATTAACATGAAAGATAGAAAAATATGATAATTTGAAAATGGAAATTATTTTGGCTACTACCAAAGCAACAAATAGACCCTGATCATTTATTACTTGTTACCATGTTTGCAATCCGATTCAATTAATTTGTTACATGATTATGTATACCTACGTACTATGTCTATCTAACATGCCAAAGCACTTCCCGAAACTTGTTATTTTTTCATCACATCAGATTGAAAAGTGTTTAGTTCTACATGACTTTTGTGTGTTACATCATCATGAACATATACGCTGCTATACTTAATTAATACTAGGAAAATAACTTCACACTTTTCATCAGCCATTCGTCTGTTCCTGTTTCAAGAATCGCTTTCTCTTAATATTTGTGAAGGCACGACCCGACAACAATCTTTCCTAAAACGTGATGACATTATTAGTAGAACTTTCTTTTCAGAGCGATATAGGTATGTTCAATTTTAAGACAACTCACCTTACGATATATTTACATTCGTTTCCACCAGATGTAAAGCGAAGACTCACGTCAGCTCACTTCCAAAGCACAACTGTACAGTCCAAGCTTAAAAATGCTGTTTTATGGCTTCACATGGGATTGAAGGAGAATATTTTCGAATGCGTGAGATTTATGGCTCAGGTGTCGTGAGAGATGTTTCAGTGTGAGTAAGGACGTCTCAGCGTGAGATTTTATCCCACGCTGTGAGAGTTAAAATTGGCAACCCTGCCAGAACCAAGCTCTGAACTTTTATCTTTAAGCTACCAACTGAGCTCCCTGGTTATTGATCATAAGCCTAGCTAGTCCAGAACAATTCCAAATATATTATATTTGTCCCTATCAGAGCGACATCCACATAACACATTTTTGGTTTGTTTGTACACCACCTGTGACTGTAGACGACATACAGATCAATATAGGAAAACCACAACATAACTATTGTTAATACTATATCTGATTATACAATTCAGAAAATGATAATTAATATGACAAAATAAGAATTTGGAACAAATAGAACCTACTGTACAGCACTCTTTACATTATAAGCTTAGATGAAAAACATTATCCCGACAATTTAGGCCTATCTCTTATGATATATATCTATCATTTTTACTGTTTTACAAACTTTCTTGTGGTATTCTTTTAAGTGATATTTTGAAATAAAGGTAAATGAATGTCTAGCTTTAATTACCACAGGAACCACATCATCTGCAGCGAATTCCCAGACAGTTGCTCCACTGACCCACATCCACTCGACCGACAATACAAATTAACACTTACCAATTAATTTGTCTGCTTCTCATGGCGTGTCTCTTATTGCCTTCGATATATAAGATGTGTGTCTAACTTACCAGATATGTGAGATCTTAAGTCCCCAGTTAAGGCCGCAATGATCGGCGCTCCACCCGTGACACAAATCTTGCTGTCATGGTCGAAATGACGTGGAAGTGAAGGAAGTCAACATTGGTTTGTGATTATTCTCAGCACAGACTTTTTTCTCGTGATCTGATTGGTCAAAATTGTTATATGGGTGGTTTTGCTGGGTCACAGGGATATTTCAAATATTGTTTACATTCAGCCATTTATTTCAAGTGTATAACATCATAATGGACATTTTCGAAAATAATGTGACGTCTATTTAGTTCTTTTGAGTTGTGTAATAATACTTTTTAAGCCCGTCTCTGGATACACATATGAGGTGTTTGTTAAATTTGTATTAACATCACTAATATTCAGGTTTCTAACCTTGAAAATTGCTTAAGTATGCTACACAGGTGATTGATGACTTGATATGATTTGTTGTAAAATCTCTGACTCGAGCAAGTCGATTTTTAGCTAGTGCCTATTCAAGTGAGCTTATATTATGCCGTGGCGCGGCGTCCGTCGTCCGGCGTCAATATTTTACTTGAAACGACTTCTTCTTAATAACCGAAAGGTTAGGGTGATGATATTTGGCCAGAAGCAAACTGGGCTACAAAGTTTGATAAAATTATTGACCTTCATCCATTTTCAAGGTCACAGGGGTCAATTGTCTTATTTTTTTTTAAAACATCTTCTTCTCGATAATCAAACTGCCCAGGGAGGTGATATTTGGCCAGTAGCATGCTTAGGTAAAGGGCTACCAAGTTTGTTCAAATGAATGACCTTAAATTATATTCAAGGTTACAGGGGTCAATTGTCTTAAAAAAACTTTAAAACAACTTCTTCTGAATAACCAAAATACCCAGGGTAATGATATTTGGCCAGTAGCATGCTGAGATGAAGGGCTACAATGTTTGTTCAAATGATTGACCTTTATCCATATTCAAGGTCACAGGGGTCAAATATGTTAAAATCTTTAAACGTCTTCTTCTCGATAACCAAACTGCCCAGGGAGATGATATTTGGCCAGTAGCATGCTTGGGTAAAGGGCTACCAAGTTTGTTCAAATGAATGACCTTCAATTATATTCAAGGTCACAGGGGTCTATTAAAAAGCTTTAATATGTTAAAAAATGTTAAACAACTTCTTCTGAATAACCAAAATGCACAGGGTGATGATATTTGGCACCCATATTCAAGGTCACAGGGGTTAAAAAGGTTGAAAACAAGAGGCCCAATGGGCCTGCATCGCTCACCTGTTATTAATCTAACACTTGTAATCTTAAGATTTCATAAGAACCTATTAAAAGATTTAAACATATGACGCCTCTGACCTTGATTGTTGAACAAGGACATTAGGTTGAAAATGGATCAAGGTCATTCATTTGAACTAACATTGTAGCCTGCAACCCAGCATAATACAGGCCAAATATCAGTACCCTGGACCTTTTGGTAATTGAGAAGAAGTTGTTTGAAGATTTTAAGACATCTGACTCCAGTGACCTTGAAAGTTGGTCAAGGTCATCCATTTGAACAAACATGGTAGCCCTTCATCCCAGCATGCTACAGGCCCAATATCAGTACCCTGGGCCTTTTGGTAATTGAGAAGAAGTTGTTTGAAGGTTTTAAAGACATCTGACCCCAATGACCTTGAAAGTTGGTCAAGGTCATTCATTTGAACAAACTTGGTAGCCCTTCTTCCCAGCATGCTACAGGCCTAATATCAGTACCATGGGCCTTTTCGTTATTGAGAAGAAGTTGTTTGAAGATTTAAACATATATTTCAACCCCTGTGACCTTGAAAGTTGGTCAAGGTCATTTATTTGAACAAACTTGGTAGCCCTTCATCCAAGCATGCTACAGGCCCAATATCAGTACACTGGGCCTTTTGGTTATTGAGAAGAAGTTGTTTGAAGATTTAAGACATCTGACCCAAATGACCTTGGAAGTGGGTCAAGGTCATTCATTGAAAAAACTTGTTTGCCCTTCATCCCAGTATGCTACAGGCCCAATATCAGTACCCTGTGCCATTTGGTTATTGAGAAGAAGTTGTTTAAAGATTTTAAAGACATCTGACACCAGTGACCTTGAAAGTGGGCCAAGGTCATTCATTTTAACAAACTTGGTAGCCCGTCATCCCAGCATGCTACAGGCCCAATATCGGTACCCTGGGCCATTTGGTTATTGAGAAGAAGTTGTTTGAAGATTTTAAAGACATCTGACACCAGTGACCTTGAAAGTGGGTCAAGGTCATTCATTTGAACAAACTTGGTAGCCCTTCATCCCAGCATGCTACAGGCCCAATATCAGTACCCTGGGCCTTTTGGTAATTGAGAAGAAGTTGTTTGAAGATTTTAACATATTTGACCCCTGTGACCTTGAAAGTGGGTCAAGGTCATTTATTCGAACAAACTTGGTAGCCCTTGATCCCAGCATGCTACTGGCCAAATATCATCTTCCTAGGCCTTTTGATTATTGAGAAGAAGTTGTTTAAAGCAAAAAGTTGACGCCGGACGGACGCCGGACACCGGACGGACGGACGACGGACCCCGCACCATAACATAAGCTCACTTGCCCTTGGGGCAGGTGAGCTAAAAATTAAACAACTTCTTCTCAATAACAAAAATGCCCAGAGTGATGATATTTGGTCAGTAGCATGCTGGGGTAAAGGGCTATCAAGTTAGTTCAAATAAATGACCTTCACCTATATTCAAGGTCACGGGGGTCAAACATATGAAAAACAAGAGGCCCATGGGCCTTAACGGTCACCTGATATATTTATACAGAGAGTTGATTTTTGTTTTTAACATGAACAGAAATATTATTCAAAGTGACAAAAAATAATAAAACCACCTTATTCAATATCTAGCATGCAGATTTAAGACTGAAAAGTATTTGAAACTAGCACCTCTGATTCTAAACAAGGAAAATGAAGAAATTTTATTTTAGCACACAGACTCCATTGGGCCCCATCCTACAGCCCTTGGGGGTAGGGATGGCTCAACATTTACAAAGTATCAAACTGTCAATTTAGGGTTATAATTTCAATCAAGTTATCACAACATGTAATATTCAAAGTATCATTTGCCATTATAAACCATAACAANGTAAAGTTTACCCCCTCCCCAGGGGAAAACGTGGACCCCAGGGTCATGAAATTTCACAATTTTGGTAAAGCACCTTAAGACCCTTCCATCTATGAAGAGTATTTGATTTTACCATATCTGGGTCTTGAGAAGAAGATTTTTGAAATTTCAGTCAATTCAACCCTTTTTGGCCCCACCCATCAGCCCCGGGGGTCAGTCAGGGCTGATATGTGCATACCATCAAACTGCTATCCAATTCTGATAATTCTAACCCAAATTGAATTACTTCCAATGGCAATTAAACAAATGTTGGTCCAAAATGTGATTTCCCTATGTAAACTATAGTAAAGTTTACCCCCTCCCCAGGGTTACCTTTCGCCTAGTAACAGTTAATAGAAGAGGGCTATAATCAAGTTTAAATCAATGGCAATGTTAGATAATGGGTGATTATCATCACTTGAGCACCTGTGTGTGCAGCATAATTAAGGCTAAATATGTAGGATTAGAAAGTAAGTTGAGGGCTTGATTGATGGTCATGTAAAAGTTTGATCAGTTGACGTTTTTATCAAAATATATGTATTTTTTCCAATATGTCTCCAGAAGTTCATGATATAATAATTCTATAGAAACATTTCACACAACTTTCTACTGAAACAAAAATTATCAATTGTTATCTAAGTCCGTGATTTAGTTCATATACGATTTTCCTTTATTTCCTTCTAATATCAACCATCCCTTGAACTATGATTTTCTATGGCTTCCCCTTGTCAGCAGTTTGAATATCTATATATGCCTAAGGGTGTTGCCAAAACAAGGAGTCCACTACTCTAAACAATAGGGGATTAATCCTCTATTGTCTATATATTAGTAGGGTCTCCAGTCAGAACAGTGGTCAAGGCTCACCAGACTGACTCTACCTAATCTTATTGTTCTAATGTCATGGTGTGGTGATCACCCTGTCCGCTGAGAGAGGACTATACCATCTGTTGGAATTGGGTAAAAGATGTTTATAGGTAAAGTGTTATTTCAAAGGTAGAGTCCATTTCATGATAGATAAACCCGTATTTTCACATGTGGTTTCATGTACACATGATCACCAGGAGTGAATAAGTATACCAATTAAAAAACATAAATTTCCTAAATTTCAAAGACAATACAGCACAATGCACTTTATCAGGTGAATAAATATCCAATGTTAGTATGTATATCCTTTTCCTTAGGTGTTGCCCTTGCACATATTGTATGCGTACAAATTCAATAAAAGACAAACAGTTAAATCATTATTAATATATATGACAAAATAAATCAATATTTAATTGCCAAAATGCTCGCCTAAACTACATGCACATGAAGGGCATGACACAAACATCAACATTTTAACAGAAAACCTACATTTTTACCATTGTTTTAGAAATTTTGTTAACACTGGCTGCGCTCGGCCATCATAAAATATAAATACTCTATGTTATAAAATATAACCTGGAATAATACCACAAACTCAGAAAACTATTCTATACCTCACTCGATCTGTTTGACCACAGAGTTGCCATCTAAATCCGTGGTATTATATCTTCAAAAGAAAAAAAAATATAATGATGTGATGTAAGCAACAAAGTTGAAACAATGATAACACATAAGCCTGTTGAAGGTAAAAATACTATCACATACAAGTGTTATAGAAGATTTAATACTTTACTTCAGGTGAGCTATGTATCTTGTCAATATGTAAAAACAAACTTCTCCTAATCTACTCGGCCAATTTCAAAGGATCCAGATATGATAACTACCACCTGATGGTGTGCATCTAGGTATTATTTGTTCAATCCGACCCCTTTTTTACGGAATGATGGCCGTTTGTTGAAAAATATTTGTCCATACAACTCCTCCAAAACTATGGGGCCAATTTCAAAGGAAGTTTTCAGATATGATAACTATATACCCCTTGGTGTTCTGCATCCAGGTTATTTTTTCCTACCCTTTTTTATGGAGTTATGGGCCTTTCTTGAAAAATCCTTGTTCTGATAACTTCTCCGGATCAACTCGGCTAATTTCGAAGTTTACAGATATGGTAACTGCCCCCTGATGTTGTGAATCCAAGTAGTACTTTTTCATTCCGACCCTTTTAAAAGGAGTTATGGTCCTTTGTTACAATAAAACTTTGTCTGTCTCCTAAACTACTGGGCCGATTTCACTGAAAGTTTACAGATATGGTAATTATCCCCTGATGTTGTGCATCATGGTAGTATTTTTTTTCATTCCGACACTTTTTGACAAAGTTATGGCCCTTTGTTGAACAAATCCTAAAACATTTTGTCGGGACAACTCGTTCTTAAGTAATGGATCGATTTCAACGACACTCTACAGATATGATAAATACCACCTGAAATTGTGAAACCAGGCGTTATTTTTTTTCATTTCGAGCCTTTTTTTTTTTACAAACTGTCCCTTGGTTGAAAAATCTTTGTATGGACAACTCCTTCAAAACTACGGGTTTAATTTGATGTTGTGCATCAGGGTAGTATTTATTTTTCATTATGACCCTTTAAAAAGGAGTTGAAAATGTTGTCTCCAAAACTGCTGGTCCGATTTCAGTGATAGTTTACATATATGGTAAATAACCCCTGATGTCATGCATCAGGGTAGTATTTCTATCATTTCGACCCTTTTTAAGGAGTTGTGGCCCTTTGTTTGAAATATTTTTCCCGACAACTCTTCCTTAACTACTATGACGATTTCAGCAAAACTGGTTCATCTGGGCTAACAAGATTTGGTTTTCAAAGTATGTTTTGCAATTTGGAGGGGTACAGAAAGTATGTCACTTATATACTTAAATTAGTGTATAGCTCAGTGAATAAAGAAACATTTACTGGTTGGAGACTATGGATTGCTTTGCAATGCTTTACCTTACTTAGCTTACAGTGGTGGTTTATATAGGAGCGGGGGTATTAGTTAGTCTTTGGCTTACAGTTCTAGTTTATACATGTGCGGGGGTATTAGTTAGCCTTTGGCTTACAGTTCTAGTTTATAAAGGAGCAGGGGTATTAGTTAGTCTTTGGCTTACAGTTCTTGTTTATATAGGAGTGGGGGGATTCGTTAGCCTTTGGCTTACAGTTCTAGTTTATACAGGCGCGGGGGTATTAGTTAGCCTTTGGCTTACAGTTCTTGTTTATATAGGAGCGGGGGTATTAGTTAGTCTTTGGCTTACAGTTCTAGTTTATAAAGGAGCAGGGGTATTAGTTAGTCTTTGGCTTACAGTTCTAGTTTATAAAGGAGCAGGGGTATTAGTTAGTCTTTGGCTTACAGTTCTAGTTTATATAGGAGCGGGGTATTAGTTAGCCTTTGGCATACAGTTCTAGTTTATATAGGAGAGGGGGTATTAGTTATCCTTTGGCTTACAGTTCTAGCTGATTAAGGTTGTGAGGTCACGTCACCGAGCATTTCGAACACCCTCCCTTGAAATAAGAGTTACTGCCCCTTAATAAGTAGCTTATCATGCAAGTTTGTTTTCAATTTTCCAAATATTAATTATAACTTACTAGTTGAACTTAAGTGATTCCGAGACAGAATAATTGTTTTCATTTGAAAACAGAAATTTTCATTGGAAACATACATCATTTGTTTTATGTGATTTTGTTTTTTGATAGTCACACCATGCATGTGCGAACTGCAGTGTGTGGTGAATGAAATATATGTGATATGAATAAGAATGTAAGTTTATAAAATTATCTGATAATTATTTGATTCCGATAGTACCTGTCTAGATTTCAAAATAACGAACATATTCGGTCTATATAACTGATACACGTCTACTCCAAATGATGGTCAAGTTTGTAATAAGGGTAGTATCAAAACACAGAAGAAAAAAATCAAACTTTTAGGAAGTCTCAGATAGAGAAAAGAAAAAAAATGTCAATTTTAAATATTCTATTTGTTCCTATGTGATGCTTTGTGACTTAAAAATATCCTAAAGTTTGTTAAAAAATATTGATTTTCAGTTAGTTGAAATATTATTGTTTGACCATAATCAATATCATTCCAGTTTGTAAATGAACGTAATCCATATCAGCATACATACTAACTGCATATTTTGGTAAAAATATCGCTAAAACTTGTGTTAAGTTCAGACTATTCAATGTTATTTTGTTGATGAGTCATTGGCCAAGACATGTGTTGTGTAAAAGTAATTTAATTAAATAGTTATTACATTCAAATCTCCACAAAGCCGTATGTAAACTGATGTCCGTACACATATATGATTATTCTGTCAAAACAAATTCAATCTATTTTTTTTTTATTGATATAGCAGCTTAAGACATTCTTATAGTATATAGACTGAGTTACAATGGTAAGCTTTCAGTATTTATACAAGAAAGCGCAAACATATCTCTCACGTTCTTCAATCATGGGAGCATTTTATTCTGCCTAAGCCGTATTTGGCGCAAAAGTAGCTTTTTGCTCCGACGTAATCCAAACAGCGAGTATCACTTTGACGTAAGCGAAATAGCTGTCAGGATTATCCCCGTGCACTTGATGTCCACAAACAAGGCATCTTTAGATGGTTGGATCTCAGCCATTTCAAAGTCTTTATTTACATCTTTTCTTTAACCCTCCATCCCCTGTCAGCTGCCACCTGGGGGTGAGGAGAGGGAGTTTAGAGATGAGTGGATTTCCTTCTAAAAATTACCATGGTACAGAAGAGAAGCCATGCACTTAAAGCAAAATCACCAAATTACGGCTGATGCCATGTGGGGTTACTTTCTTTGCCACTGCTCATTGCCGGCACCACCAGCCGAGTACATCCTTCTCTGAATGTTAAACACTCAACAACCAGAGTTGGGGATCAACAGTGTAATCGGCCACAATGGTTGGCTCCCAGATTCCCTCCTGCCTCTTCATCTATGTCCAACTGGAAGCCCAGTTAGCTACCTTGGTAAGCCAATACCCTAACCATTTCTTTGACCATCTAGTCTGTCCAAGCACATACCATCTTCTTTATCAACTGTGTAGGGAAACCCATATATCCCATTTCCACAGGGGAGTTCTACTTTCCATATGCCTGCTCTTTGCATTCTGCCAATTTCCCTTCCTCTCCTCCCTTGTCACTGTCAGATCTACTTATACCTCCCTTGTCACTGTCAGTTCTACTAATGCCTCCCTTGTCACTGTCAGATCTACTTATACCTCCCTTGTCACTGTCAGTTCTACTCATACCTCCCTTGTCACTGTCAATTCTACTAATACCTCCCTTGTCACTGTCAATTCTACTAATACCTCCATGGCCCCAGTCAGATCTACTTATACCTCCCTTGTCACTGTCAGTTCTACTAATACCTCCCTTGTCACTGTCAGTTCTACTAATACCTCCCTTGTCACTGTCAGTTCTACTAATACCTCCCTTGTCACTGTCAGATCTACTAATACCTCCCTTGTCACCGTCAGTTCTACTTATACCTCCCTTGTCACTGTCAGTCTACTAATACCTCCCTTGTCACTGTCAGTTATACTTAAACCTCCCTTGTCACTGTCAATTCTACTAATTCCTCCCTTGTCACTGTCAATTCTACTAATGCCTCCCTTGTCACTGTCAATTCTACTAATCCCTCCCTTGTCACTGTCAGTTCTACTAACACCTCCCTTGTCACTGTCAGTTCTACTAATCCCTCCCTTGTTCCTGTCAGTTCTACTCATACCTCCCTTGTCACTGTCAGTTCTACTAATTCCTCCCTTGTCACTGTCAATTCTACTAATACCTCCCTTGTCACTGTCAGTTCTACTAATACCTCCCTTGTCACTGTCAGTTCTACTTAAACCTCCCTTGTCACTGTCAATTCTACTAATACCTCCCTTGTCACTTTCAGTTCTACTAATACCTCCCTTGTTCCTGTCAGTTCTACTCATACCTCCCTTGTCACTGTCAGTTCTACTAATACCTCCCTTGTTCCTGTCAGTTCTACTAATACCTCCCTTGTTCCTGTCAGTTCTACTCATACCTCCCTTGTCACTGTCAGTTCTACTAATACCTCCCTTGTCCCTGTTAATTCTACTAATACCTCCCTTGTCACTGTCAGTCTACTCAGAACTCCCTTGTCACTGTCAGTTATACTAATACCTCCCTTGTCCCTGTTAATTCTACTAATACCTCCCTTGTCACTGTCAGTTATACTAATACCTCCCTTGTCACTGTCAGTTCTACTAATACCTCCCTTATCACTGTCAGTTCTACTAATACCTCCCTTATCACTGTCAGTTCTACTAATACCTCCCTTGGCACTGTCAGTTCTACTAATACCTCCCTTGGCACTGTCAGTTCTACTAATACCTCCCTTGTCACTGTCAGTTCTACTAATACCTCCCTTGTCCCTGTTAATTCCACTAATACCTCCCTTGTCACTGTTAGTTCTACTTGTACCTCCCTTGTCACTGTCAGCTCTACTAATACCTCCCTTGTTCCTGTCAGTTCTACTCATACCTCCCTTGTCACTGTTAGTTCTACTTATACCTCCTTTGTCACTGTCAGATCTACTAATACCTCCCTTGTCACTGTTAGTTCTACTAATACCTCCCTTGTCACTTTCAGATCTACTAATACCTCCCTTGTCACTGTTAGTTCTACTAATACCTCCCTTGTCACTGTCAGTTCTACTAATACCTCCCTTGTCACTGTCAGATCTACTTATACCTCCCTTGTCACTGTCAATTCTACTAATAACTCCCTTGTCACTGTCAGTTCTACTAATCCCTCCCTTGTCACTGTCAGATCTTCTTATACCTCCCATGTCACTGTCATGTGTATATATCCTCCACAGCCTTGTGGCAGACTGTGCTTTTTATCTTCCACAGCCTCGTGGCACAGACTGTGCTATATATCCTCCCTTGTCACTGTCAGTTCTACTAATACCTCCCATGTCACTGTCAGATCTACTCATACCTCCCATGTCACTGTCATGTGTATATATCCTCCACAGCCTTGTGGCACAGACTGTGCTATATATTCTCCACAGCCTTGTGGAGCATACTGTGCTATATATCCTCCACAGCATAGTGGCGCAGACTGTGCTATATATCCTCCACAGCCTAGTGACACAGACTGTGATATATATCCTCCACAGCCGAGTGGCAGACTGTGCTATATATACTCCACAGCCTCGTGGCACAGACTGTGCTATGTATCCTCCACAGCCTAGTGACAGACTGTGCTATATACCCTCCACAGCATAGTGGCAGACTGTGCTTTTTATCCTCCACAGCCTAGTGGAAGACTGTGCACTATATCCTCCACAGCCTGTCACTGTCAATTCTACTAATACCTCCCCTTGTCACTGTCAGTTATACTAATACCTCCCTTGTCACCGTCAATTCTACTAATACCTCCCCTTGTCACTGTCAGTTCTACTAATGCCTCCCTTGTCCCTGTTAATTCTCCTAATACCTCCCTTGTCACTGTCAGATCTACTCATACCTCCCATGTCACTGTCATGTGTATATATCCTCCACAGCCTAGTGGCACAGACTGTGCAATATATCCTTCAAAGCCTGTTGGTACAGACAGTGCTATATCCTTCACAGCCTAGCTGGCTTACCACGTCCTTCTGGTTCTCATCTGAACTCCTGTTTTCCAAGCTTTCTCATCCCTAGAGTCCTTCAAAATGATGACAAATCGTTACCATCTAGTCACTTATTACTGGCTCGGCAAGATGGACTATATATTGGTAGAACACTAGACTAGTGATCTTTAATCCTGTGTTCAGCCCCTGACAAAGGCAATTGGTAAAGGAAACAAATCAGGCATCTCCTTTTTTATTTATTTCACACTTTCATTAAATGTTAACATTCAGTGTTCTACAATGATACAGGATAAGACGTATAAATACAAGTCAATTGAGTACACATTCAACAATTTGAAGATAATTAGCATAATCAATCTATTCAATGATCTACCTCTTAAATGGTTAAAAGTAGAAACTACTCCATAAACTTGCCATAAATGAATGCCACTAAAAACATATTCTAAGTTTTCCAAATTCCAACATCATTAAATGAATATTTATTTTGGAAATAAATCTAAATCTGATGTAAAATTACATATTGTATTACATTGTACAAGATGTAAGTTCTTTCTTTATCTGGGGTCCATGCTCAACTCAAGTTAAAATCCTGACTCAAACACTTATGATTAACCCAGGGTCCAGACTAATGTTGTGTCAGCCACTCAGCCTTTTTCAGGACCCACACATCTCATGTTTTGGACAGACAGCAGTGTGTAATGCCACAGTTAAGTATCAGTGTCTCTCTTAAACTAATTCTGGGAAGTTTGAAGTTTCAAATGCAACATTGTTGATCTGGATATAGAAAATTGTGTCAATATTGGTATCAAACTTTTCTAAATCGGGACAGAATGTTTAAGCACCTTATGAAATATAAGATGGTAATGATCCCCAACTGAAATGGCACTTCTAGATCTATTACTTCTTTATTAGTTACACAAAGGAGTCATGAGTTCCCCTCTGTCAGAGTTGACGTTGGCTTTGTCAGCAGGTGCTCCGTTTCCTTAATCCTGCAATAAAAACAACAAAATACATATTTTTTTTTACAAAATTGCAAATTGCTTTTCCTGATTATTAACTGACAAACAAGAGGCCAAGGGGGCCTGTATCGCTCACCTATTTGTTTCATTACACGAAACTGACATATAGGTAACTTCAGACCAAATTTGGTAACTAGAACACAAGACATTTTAACATCTCTTAAACATTTCTTAAGATATTGTTGTTTGAAATTTGAAATTTTAAAGCTTTTAACCATTGTTGACCTTTGACTCCGGCTAGCACTTAAAGTTGATATTTGACCTCATTACTGTAATTAAGAAAACGATTTGCACTTCTGGTCTACATAACATACTCAAGTATCATGCCTCTAGTCCAAATGGTTCTTAGGATATTGTTGTTTGAAGTTTTTAACATATTTGACCACTGTGACCTTGAAACTATGTAAAGGTCATTTTAATGAGGAAAGTTTATAGCACTTTATCCCAGGTACCTACTGGCCAAATATCATGACCCTAGGTCCTCCAGTTCTTCAGAAGAAGTCACCGCAGTAAGGCATAAGCCTACCTGGCCCAAAGTTATTTTGCAAATTAATTTATCTTTTACATACTAATTTTCATGGCCAGTAGACCTAAAAGTTGCAAATAACAGATCAAACAAAAATTCACATTTTAGCCAAATTGCATGGCATTAGGGACATATATTGAATGTGTGCATCTTTCTGAATTGTTAAAAGGTACTCCTATACATACATAGTTTTGATCCTCAAGAACCTCTCCTGTGACGTTGGGTCACCAAAATGAAATGACAGGGAGTCTTCTAGGCTTTCTAACATCACCGGGTGTTTTGTGGGTGTGCTCGATAATCGCTTTTCATTCTGAGTCACGGTGGCAAAAGTGTCATCATTGGTGAAATCAAACGGTGGGAGTGTCACGCTATTGTTGATGGAAAGGTCTATGGGTTTCCTTATCGGTGACAGACCTACAGCTGCTGAGTCGTTGATGTCACTGGATGTCAGGTTTGTTTGGGGATAGCGTGAGAGGTCGCTAAATACACTGCTTCCTGATAAACATATTGATAACATCATTGTGATAGAAGGAATTCTCATAATGCAATGATACCAGAACAAAAAGGTACAGTGTGTAGAACAAGGCCAAATGGTCCAATTAAACACTGGCTCAATTGTAGAAAAGCACATATCTCAAAAAACAAAATCTCTAGCATTCATGAAAGAAATGACGCCACAGCTTTATTTAAAACTTCCAACTTTTACTTATTTTACAATAATTATGAAACAGATTATGATTTCATATATATTTATCACTCAAGTTGGCACAAATGGAAGCATGCAAGAGGTCATCAATTAAGCTCTAATTACCATTAGAGTGATTCGTGGCAGGAAACTGCATCTGCTGATCCGCAGGTTGTGCCTCTAGTGGAGTAATGATAGAGGAGGTTTGTGCACTGTGTATGTCCGCCAGGCCACCACTCTGAGTTTGTGTTCCACTGCCATCTTCAGCACCCAAACTTTGTAGGACAGTCAGTGCTTTTTGTCTATCTGTTCCACCTTGACAGTGCATGTTACTTTGATACAATTCTCCAGCTGCAAATGTTTGTAGCATATTTGGTTCCTGGTGAGATTCAGCTAGACTGCTGGTATGTGTGGTGCAATGGACTTGGTACATGTTAGCAGAATGCACTGTCTGTGAAGATCCATGTGGTGCCTCAGGATTGCCAGCTTTGTGCTGAGTGTCTCTCATCCCTTGATTCATTGCTGGCTCACCAGGAACAGTCTGTATCAATACAAGTATTCCTTATTGACATTCTGTATCAATACAAGTATTCCTCATTCACATTCTGTATCAATACAAGTATTCCTTATTCACATTCTGTATCAATACAAGTATTCCTTATTGACATTCTGTATCAATACAAGTATTCCTCATTGACATTCTGTATCAATACAAGTATTCCTCATTGACATTCTGTATCAATACAAGTATTCCCCATTCACATTCTGTATAGTGATGCAAAAGAATGGACTTTATGTAGTAGTGTTTTTCTTTGACCATATTGTAGCATTTAGCTATAAATGTCTGTATGTAACGGAAATCAGCCTTCCGTGTATTATTATAGGTAACACACAGCGGGGACGGGCCCAGGGAAATAGCACGTTGAAATGCGAGTGAGATGCTGGGCAGATGTGATGAAATGTGCTGTAAGCCTGTTTGTCCAGTATGTATTGTCTATGTATAGTATCCTTAGTGTTGAATGTTGGGTATTATACCTGGTGCACTGGTCACTTTGAACAGAATGAACACAGCTATACTACTTATATCTAGAGATCACAGAGATTGAGATATGTAGCAGGCACTAGAATAAAAAAACAGTTAACGTAAGTACCCGTGTATAACATATTAAATAATGTATTTAATTAATGTAATATTTTTGTTTAAAAGTAAAATTGATATTTTGAAAGTCTCTGTTAATTGAGATATTAGGCCTGGTCAACCTAGTAGATAAGTGATTCCGGGGTAGCAAGTTTTTTTTACATGTGTGTTAATTGTTTTATTTATAGTGTGTGTACTGTATGTTGAAGAGGGGCAGTTATTTTTACGTATGTGTAATTATGTTATATAATTAGATATAAACTGTTATTTCTATATAATCTATAGACTGAACATCACAGTTCAATTTATACATAATACAACTATTGGAACTAATGTAACTGGCTACGGCCAAAGAGATGTTTGACATGTTTTATCTTGTGTGATTGTAGGAATGTATCATTATGTATCGTAATATGATGTCTTCCATGTTGTTGTTTTTAAATAATAAATCTGTTAAACCAAGAACCCTGGAATTGTCGTGTATCAATAGCACTATTACACTTAAGAAAGTTTTTGGGATTCAGTTTTCAAAAAGTGGTGGAAAATGATAATGGGACATTCCTATGGAGCATCACCAGGTACAGTAAACCATTTCTAAAGCACAAATCAACTATTCAAGCACAGAACTAAATATTGCATCTTTTCATAATGGAAACTTGGATCACAATTGCAGCTACTTTAAACCTTTGATTATGAAGCGATTACACAGCTACAATTCGTTGATGTACTTAGTACAAATTGTACATATTTGATCATTGTGACCATATGAAAGTATCTTCTGAAAGATTTTCCTTTTTATTGATTTTCTTTACCCAAGGATGCTCTACATAAAATTTGGTTAAAATCTCTCCAGTCAATGGGCCATGGCGGCTATGTTGGATTTTCAGATCGACACGAAAAGTAAGAACACTTGTTAAGGACCTTATAAGGACCAATTGTACCAAATTTTAAGCCAATGGCTTGAGCTGTTCTTTTGAAGAAGTCGAAAATGTCTCGGCCAATTAGAGATCAAGGCGACCATCTAGGATGTTCAGATAAAAAAGAAACAAAAAAACCACTTGTTCTGGACCTAATAAAGATCATTTGTACTAAGATGAAAGTTAATCTGTGAAGTCACTCTTGAGAAGAAGTCAAAGATGTTTCAGCTAAACAGAGAATAGGATGCCTATCATGGATTTTCAGATCAGTATGAAAAATAACCACACTTGGTCAGGACATCATAACGAATATTATGTACCAAGTTTGAAGTTAATCGCACAAACAGTTCTGAAGAGGAAGTAGAAAATGTTTGATTTTCAGTTACGACGGACAATGGACTATGCATGAAGACGGATGGCCATAGCTCACATGAGCAATCATGTGAGCTAAAAATGTAAATGGTTAACATGAAGTAGTCATGGATGTGAAAGCTTCAATATCAATTATCAAGCGAGATCCAAAACTGATTTGGATCAAGACTTACCCAATTCCCTCTAAGTCTGAACTCATGCTTTTCCCACTAAGTCTACAGACTTGCCCTATTATTTGGAATGAGATTCATCAGTTTAGTATGAACAACAAGAGGCCCAATGGGGCTGCATCACTCACCTGGTATTAATCTCACACTTGTAATCTTAAAAGTGGACTAAAATACAGCTACAGGCAGAATATCAGTGTTTGATTCATAAGAACCAATTAAAAGATTTAAACATATGACGCCTGTGACCTTGAATGTCAAACAAGGATATTAGGTTGAAAGTGGGCCAAGGTCATTCATTTGAACAAACTTGGTAGCCCTTCATCCCAGCATGCTACAGGCTTAATATCAGTACCCTGGGCCTTTTGGTTATTGAGAAGTGGTTTGAAGATTTTAAGACATTTGATCCCTGTCACCTTGAAAGTGGGTCAAGGTCATTCTTTTGAACAAACTTGGTAGCCCTTCATCCCAGCATGCTACAGGCTTAATATCAGTACCCTGGGCCTTTTGGTTATTGAGAAGAAGTCGTTTGAAGATCGGGCCAGGTGAGCTAATAAATGTCTGTTTTGAACACAAGCAGTAATTGAACATTTGATTTGCAAGCTTTCAGAATGTCTTTTTTACTTTGTCAAGCATGCAAAGAGTGCAAAAGACCGGTGTCTCAACTATAAACCGCTAAAAACTAAGCCACAATGTGCCTAGTCAGTACATTCGGCTGTCAGAAACTATCCCCACCAAGTCTCTACTTACACTTTTCCCATGAAGTTTCTACTTACCCTATTCCCACCAAATTTCTACTTACCCTATTCCCACTAAGTCTCTACTTACCCTATTCCCACTAAGTCTCTACTTACCCTATTCCCACTAAGTTTCTACTTACCCTATACCCACTAAGTCTCTACTTACCCTATTCCAACCAAGTCTCTACTTACCCTATTCCCACTAAGTCTAGCCTCCACCAAGGCTACCCTGTTCTCTACAAGTACCATCCTGGCCATGAGAGTCTCCAGCTGCTGGTGGATTATTGTTAGGGTGGCGTTAACCTTGTCATTGGGGCTGAGTGCAGCCTGGGCCTCCACACTGATGTTCCTTACCACCGAGTCTAGATTGTTCATTCGGTCCACAACAGTCTGCAATTTTATGGAAACAACAACAGCTAGCTCACACAGTGTTTTTTTTTCTTTTTTCTTTTTTTTTATAAATATTTATTAATTTTCTATGGATAAATCAAATTCAAACTTCAAACAAGGAAGCAGGTCAAAAGTTTAAGCTCAGATACTAACGCAGAATAAATTTCTGCACAACGATTCTTAACTTTAACTGACATGGGTCAGCAAAACTTCAGACAGGCTCCATGGCCAAAGCACTTAATGTTTGGAATAACTCTTTAAGTCCAAAAGTCAGTCATTTTTACTACAGGGTATCAAAAAGAAAAGTAGCTTCCTGCTTCTGCACAAGAAATGTTTTGTCTTCTGATTCAATAATTCCATGACTCTTCAAATTCCTTTTTTATAATCTGAATTTGAAGAAGCTTGCATCTTCATGATTTCAAAATTTAGTAAAATTTGTTCATATCACCAGTTAACACAGAGAAAAGAGTTTTCGAGATTTGCAGATCATGATATGTTTCAATTTTTTAACGACGTATCCATCCCTTACCTGTATTATCTTGAAGTACTGTTGGGACTCCTGACTCGGTACAAATGGCTGACCTGTAGGACTGTCATCAACGCACTGCGGTTCTAAAAATGATTCACCTCGAGTGACAGCATTCACAGTCTCTATTTCATCCTCTTCACTTTCCTCTTCATCTTCTTCCGTATCTTCTTCCAGGTGTTTATCTAGGAATGAAAAATAACAGAATAATATTTTTTTTATGTTATTACTTGTACTGACAATCATGAATTAAATATGAATAAAGTTCCAGATTGACACATTGGTGAAAACCTCAACATCTAATTTTGAAATCCAACCAAAAAGTTCTGTTGAATACCAATGATATTTCTTGCCGTGTCTGAAACAATCCACAAGGGAAGCTTTGCTCATGTAGGGGACATTTTCTTAAAAGAAGGAATGTTCACAAAACTGGAAGCTAAATGGATGGATGCTATTTCTGAAAAATTGTTTACTGAAAGCAAAATCCTGTAACCACTTCATGCAATAAACCCTGGGTAGGTCACCAATATAACCAGGTTAGGTCACCAACATAACCAGGGTAGGTCCCCAACATAACCAGGTTAGGTCACCAACATAACCATGGTAGGTCACCAATATAACCAGGTTAGGTCACCAATATAACCAGGTTAGGTCACCAATATAACCAGTGTAGGTCGTCAATATAACCAGGGCAGGTGACCAATATAACCAGGGAAGGTCACCAACATAACCATGGTAGGTCACCAATATAACCCAATATAACCAGGGCAGGAAACCAATATACCCAGGGCAGGTAACCAATATACCCAGGGCAGGTAACCAATATAACCAGGGCAGGTCCCCAATATAACCAGGACAGGTCACCAATATAACCCAATATAACCAGGGCAGGAAACCAATATACCCAGGGAAGGTCACCAATATAACCCAATATAACCAGGGCAGGAAACCAATATACCCAGGGTAGGTAACCAATATACCCAGGGCAGGTAACCAATATACCCAGGGAAGGTCACCAATATAACCAGTGTAGGTCACCAACATAACCAGGGTAGGTCACCAATATAACCAGGGTAGGTAACCAATATAACCAGGGCAGGTAACCAATATACCCAGGGTAGGTCACCAATATAACCAGGGCAGGTCACCAATATAACCAGGGTAGGTCACCAACATAACCAGGGTAGGTCACCAATATAACCAGGGTAGGTCACCAATATAACCAGGGTAGGTCACCAATATAACCAGGGTAGGTCACCAATATAGCCAGGGTAGGTCACCAACATAACCAGGGTAGGTCACCAATACAACCAGGGCAGGTCACCAATATAATCAGTGTAGGTCACCAATATAACCACGGTAGGTCACCAATATAGCCAGGGTAGGTAACCAATATAACCAGAGTAGGTCACCAATATAACCAGGGCAGGTCACCAATATAACCAGGGTAGGTCACCAATATAGCCAGGGTAGGTCACCAACATAACCAGGGTAGGTCACCAATACAACCAGGGCAGGTCACCAATATAATCAGTGTAGGTCACCAATATAACCACGGTAGGTCACCAATATAGCCAGGGTAGGTCACCAATATAACCAGGGTAGGTCACCAATATAACCAGGGCAGGTCACCAATATAATCAGTGTAGGTCACCAATATAACCACGGTAGGTCACCAATATAGCCAGGGTAGGTCACCAATATAACCAGAGTAGGTCACCAATATAACCAGGGCAGGTCACCAATATAATCAGTGTAGGTCACCAATATAACCACGGTAGGTCACCAATATAGCCAGGGTAGGTCACCAATATAACCAGAGTAGGTCACCAATATAACCAGGGCAGGTCACCAATATAATCAGTGTAGGTCACCAATATAACCACGGTAGGTCACCAATATAGCCAGGGTAGGTCACCAATATAACCAGAGTAGGTCACCAATATAACCAGTGTAGGTCACCAATATAACCACGGTAGGTCACCAATATAGCCAGGGTAGGTCACCAATATAACCAGAGTAGGTCACCAATATAACCAGGGCAGGTCACCAATATAACCAGGGTAGGTCACCAATATAACCAGGGTAGGTCACCAATATAATTTTTTTGGCCACACCCCTTACCCACGGGGTAGTGGCCAATTCATGTAGAGAAATTGACAATAGACAATGTTTTCTTGGCGATTTTATCAGTAATGAAGAGATCCTTAACTGTACAACCAAATGTTTTTCTAGCTAACAAAAATGTCTTTGCAGCCGAGGAGGGAAGGTAAGTTCTGGCTTTATTCACCTAGCCTCTTTGGAATACAAGCACAGGAATTTATCCTGAATCAAAAGCATCTTCCAAACAACATCTCAATCATCGTTATAAATGAGTAATCTATTTTACATTTAAACCTACGATAGCGCACTGTCTGTGGTTTGAAATTCTCTCTGCGGTAACGTCTTAGTGCGTGCATACTCTCTTTTTACCAAGGCACGGTAGTCTACTGTGGTAGGACGCCAGGCTTGTGACCGAAGGGTTGCGGGTTTTCGAGTCACAGCACGGCACTGTGTTGTATTTTTTAGCAAGATACTTTACTCTGCTTGTTCCAGTCTACTCAGCTGTAAATGAGTACGTGGTTGGGCAGTGCTAGAATTGTTGAACGCTAGCTGTTAGTGCCGAAATGGCAGCTCCAGCTGTATGCTCCCCAGGAAGTTGGAAGGTATTGGCTGGTTGCAAAGACCCTATAACCACAGATAATAATTGGTGAACTGCTTTGAGACGACCTACGAACTAGGTTATGATAAAGCGGTATATAGAACCTCAAATTATTATTATTATTAAAAGTTTGTTTTTATTCAAATCCCCCTTGTGAACAGAAATATCTGATTGGATTTATATATTATGATACTTATAACTCTTGCTTGCAGTGCTAGTGCATTGTGTAAATTCAAAGCGACAGGAATGTGTTATGTGTGAAATCAGACTCCTAACTGACATTGTGTTGTCGGTCGACAGCGGGGTATTATACATGTTTACTTTTCACGGAAAAGCCAGGATAGTGTGCAGGGTGCAGAGAACATACGAAGGGGTTCCCCTATTACTGCTGTCTGACATGGGACAATCCTACAACCACAGATATGGGAGAAGAGTACCTGCAGTACCTGGGACAGATCTGTTCCTAGTCAGACCTGTTGTTACAGGCAGGAAGTGTACTTCTGAAGACTTCTGATTTGATACCCTAGCTGCTAGCCTCTCTTTGGTGACATGAGGTGGTGAAGCAACATCTGTAGCGAGTGGTGGGTGTTGTAAATGATCAGTCATGGGACTAGTCATGTGACGTACAGGATGACATTGAGGCCTGTGTGGTTGTAAAAGCTCATTCACTACCTGTGGTGCCGATGTCACTTCTGGAGGGGAAGTTACTCTTACATATTTTGTATTTGTCACCGTCTTCGGTCTCTTCCCGCGACCAGAGGTAGAAATTGGTGCTTCAATTGACACTGGATCTGCTGACTTTGGCCGACTTCCCTAAGGATCAGAGAATTACAAGATAGCAAATTTTGTAATAAAAGAAATTTGACATTATGACTCTCAATGTCAGTATTATTGATACATGTCAAAATCATGATAACACAATTTTTTATTTTTTTTTATTCTACAGTATTTGCAAACTAAAGGTTTTCTATCAAACAACACTTAAAAGGAGTTGCAGTTCTTACAACCTTGGAATGTTTCATCGTACAGTGCTATCAAAATATTTTTTTCCATTGAATAAATTATGCCATATCTTATCATTTGTTTACTTGTGTTTTACATCTCATTAACAGCTATGGTCATTTAAGTGCCAGGTTTTGGGGGTGGAAGAGTACCCTAAGAAAACCCACTGACATGCGACCAGTATACCTGCCACAGCCTCACATAGGCCTTGAACCTGTGACACAGTGATGGAGGGCTAGTGCTCAAAGACAGTTAGACGCCTTAATCACTCGGCCAATGCGGCCCCTCAAGGTGTGATATCAATCTCATGCCTATCTGATTAAGTTACATATGAAAAAGATCATTTAATATACTGCACACTAACCATCAACCTCACATGTATTTGTAAAGTTTTACCCACGCTACTTTGTTACTGTTTTGACGTTGCATTTTAACATGAGTTCTTAATTACATAAGTACCTTTGTAGAAACAAGCTGTACAAGTCCACTTACGGCAGCACCTCCTGTAGTCATTTTTTTCGGAGGGTTCAATGAAAGGCTCTTCTCCCGGACCAGGCGTAACACTTCTGAGCACATAATGATCTTCCTCTCTGCAAAACCTGTGTTGAAGAACTGTTCTTTCGTTATGAGGGGTTTGTAGCTGAACAGATCTCGCAGGATCTGTGAAATAGGAAATATAAACAGTTGTACAGGTATATTATGTATAGGAAGGAAACTATCAATGCTGGCTAGGGCGAGGACAGACCATCCGTTGTGTATAGGAAGGAAACTAGTGATGCTGGCTAGGGCAAGGACAGACCATCCGTTGTGTATAGGAACTAAACTAGTGATGCTGGCTAGGGCGAGGACAGACCATCCGTTGTGTATAGGAACTAAACTTGTGATGCTGGCTAGGGCGAGGACGGACCATCCGTTGTGTATAGGAACTAAACTAGTGATGCTGGCTAGGGCGAGGACAGACCATCCGTTGTGTATAGGAACTAAACTTTTGATGCTGGCTAGGGCGAGGACAGACCATCCGTTGTGTATAGGACACCTGTCAACACTACTATAAACTACAGGAACTAAATACTCATTCGCATGTTGTGATTGAATATATGACTTTATATTTATAACCCATTTTACTCCATCGCCCTAGGCCTGCATACTTACGAGTTTACAGACGAGAGGCAAAGCACTAAATTATTCCACCATTGACGAAAACACGGCTTTGGCTTTACCCAAAACCTTAAATATGTAAAGTTAATTGTTTTCTCTACATTTTCTATGATACAAAGTATTCTGATGAGTCATATGTCTATGGTAAACAAGAGGCCCAATGGGCCTGCATCGCTCACCTGGTATAAAACTCTCACTTGTAACCTTAAAAGTGATCTAAAATAAAGCTACAGGAAAAATATCAGTATTTATGATTAAAATTCATTCAAAAGACCGTTATTTTTTTTCAAAACATTTCACCCCTGTGATTGAAAGTCGAACAAAGCCATTATGTTGAACACATTGTATAGCCTTTCATCTCAGGATGCATGGTTATTCAGAAGAGGTTGTTTAAAGATTTAAAAAAAAATTGACCCCTGTGGCCTTGAATATAAGTCAAAGTCATTCACTTTAACAAACAATGTAGTCCTCGATCCCAGCATATGCTACTGACTAAATATCAACATCTGAGCCTTTTGGTTATTCAGAACAAGTTGTTGAAATATTTTGAACATATTTGCTCCTTGTGACCTTGAATATGATTCAAGGTCATACATTTATACAAACTTGGTAGCCCTTGATCCTAGTATGCTACTGACCAAATATCATCACCCTGGGCATTTTGGTTATTCAGAAGAAGTTGTTTAAAGTTTTTAACATATTTGACCCCTGTGACCTTGAATATGGGTGAATGTCATACATTTGAACAAACGTGTAGCCCTTCATCTCAGCATGCTACTGGCCAAATATCATCACCCTGTGCATTTTGGTTATTCAGAAGAAGTTGTTGAATGTTTTTCACATAGTTGACCCCTGTGACTTTGAATATAGATGAAGGTCATTTATTTGAACAAACTTTGTAGCCCTTTATCTCAGCATGCTACTGGCCAAATATCATTACCCTGGGCATTTTGGATATTCAGAAGAAGTTGTTTAAAGTTTTTAACATATTTGACCCCTGTGACCTTGAATATGGGTGAAGGTCATTCATTTGAACAATTTTGTAGCCCTTCATCTCAGCTAGCTACTGGCCAAATATCATCACCCTGGGCATTTTGATTATTGAAAAGAAGTTGTTTAAAGTTTTTTACATATTTGACCCCTGTGACCTTGAATATAGATGAAGGTCATTCATTTGAACAAACTTTTGTAGCACTTTATCTCAGCATGCTACTGGCCAAATATCATTACCCTGGGCATTTTGGATATTCTTCAGAGGTTGTTTAAAGTTTTTAACATATTTGACCCCTGTGACCTTGAATATGGGTGAAGGTCATTCATTTGAACAAACTTTGTAGCCCTTCATCTCAGCTAGCTACTGGCCAAATATCATCACCCAGGGCATTTTGGTTATTGAAAAGAAGTTGTTTAAAGTTTTTGACATATTTGACCCCTGTGACCTTGAAAATAGGTGAAGGTCATTCATTTGAACAAACCTTTGTAGCACTTCATCTCATCATGCTACTGGCCAAATATCATCACCCTGAGCATTTTGGTTATTCAGAAGAATTTGTTTAAAGGTTTTTTAATACAATTGACCCCTGTGACCTTGAATATAATTGAAGGTCATTCATTTGAACAAACTTGGTAGCCCTTCACCCAAGCATGCTACTGGCCGAATATCAACTCCCTGGGCATTTTGGTTATTGAGAAGAAGATGTTTAAAGTTTTTGACATATTTGACCCCTGTGACCTTGAAAATAGGTGAAGGTCATTAAATATAACAAACTTTGTAGCCCTTCATCCAAGTTTGCTTCTGGCCAAATATCGACACCCTAGGCCTTTCGGTTATTAAGAAGAAGTCGTTTAAAGTTAAATATTGACGCCGGCCGGACGACAGACTGACAGACGACAGACGGACGGCGCGCCACGGCATAAGCTCACTTGGCATTTCGTGCCAGGTGAGCTAAAAATATTGAATTCCAAAATTTACTCTTTTGATGACAAAAGTGTTTTTTTAATCCGAATCAGATATTTAATCACACTTGTATCACTAATCAAGCAGTGAATATTGCAGGATTTTGAGATTTCAATGTGTATACCAGTACATATCACCCATATGTACACCAGTACATATCACCCATATGTACACCAGTACATATCACCCATATGAATACTAGTACATATTACATGTGTATACCAGTACATATCACACATATGAATACCAGTACATATTACACATATGTATACCAGTACATATCACACATATATACCAGTACATATTACACATATGTATACCAGCACATATTACACATATGTATACCAGTACATATCACACATATGTATACATATCACACATGTATACCAGTACATATCACAAATATGTATACCAGTACATATCACCCATATGTATACCAGTACATATCACCCATATGTATACCAGTACATATTACATGTATGTATACCAGTACATATTACACATATGTATACCAGTACATATCACTCATATGTATACCAGTATATATCACATATGTATACCAGTACATATCACTCATATGTATACCAGTATATATCACATGTGTATACCAGTACATATCACACATGTGTATACCATTACATATCACACATACTATATGTATACCAGTACATATCACACACATGTATACCAGTACATATCACACACATGTATACCAGTACATATCACATGTGTATACCAGTACATATCACACATTTGTATACCGTATATATTACACATTTGTATACCATACATATCACATGTGTATACCAGTACATACTACAAATGTGTATACCAGTACATATCACGCATGTGTATATCATTACATATCACGAATGTGTATATCATTACATATCACAAATGTGTATACCAGTACATATCACACGTGTATACCTGTACATATCACACATTTATACCAGTACATATTCTCATTTATACCAGTACATATCACATGTGTATACCAGTACATATAACACATGTGTATACCATTACATATCACACATACTATATGTATACCAGTACATATCACACACATGTATACCAGTACATATCACACACATGTATACCAGTACATATCACATGTGTATACCAGTACATATCACACATTTGTATACCGTACATATTACACATTTGTATACCATACATATCACATGTGTATACCAGTACATACTACAAATGTGTATACCAGTACATATCACGCATGTGTATATCATTACATATCACGAATGTGTATATCATTACATATCACAAATGTGTATACCAGTACATATCACACGTGTATACCTGTACATATCACACATTTATACCAGTACATATTCTCATTTATACCAGTACATATCACATGTGTATACCAGTACATATAACACATGTGTATACCATTACATATCACACATACTATATGTATACCAGTACATATCACACACATGTATACCAGTACATATCACACACATGTATACCAGTACATATCACATGTGTATACCAGTACATATCACACATTTGTATACCGTACATATTACACATTTGTATACCATACATATCACATGTGTATACCAGTACATACTACAAATGTGTATACCAGTACATATCACGCATGTGTATATCATTACATATCACAAATGTGTATATCATTACATATCACAAATGTGTATACCAGTACATATCACACGTGTATACCTGTACATATCACACATTTATACCAGTACATATTCTCATTTATACCAGTACATATCACATGTGTAAACCAGTACATATCACACATATGTATACCAGTACATATCACATGTGTATACCAGTACATATCACACATAGTGTATGTATACCTGTACATATCACACATGTGTATACCAGTAATATCACACATGTGTATATAATTACATATCACACATGTGAATATCATTACATATCACACATTTGTATACCAGTACATATCACACATATGTATACCAGTACATATCACACATATGTATACCAGTAATATCACACATGTGTATATAATTACATATCACACATATGTATATCATTACCTATAACACATTTGTATACCAGTACATATCACTCATATGTATACCAGTACATATCACATTTATGCCAACAAGTACAACACGACAAAGGTATAGGTATCAGTATGATGTATATTCATTGGGTATATAGATGATATATTCATGTGATACATCAGATACAGCATTTAAACAATTAAACATACAAATAACATTTGGCTTAAACACTAACTCAGCTGTCCCCCTTATACAAATTTTTTGAATCATTTACTGAAATTTGTATGAGTCAGATGATGACTATCAATAAGCAGATTTATATCTTTCTGAGTTGTGGCCACCCTATTCTGGACCTGATCAGTGTGCGACAGTGTAAGGTGACCACCAGTATAGATGATTCAGCCGCTGCATGGCCCTCGCTCAGCTGGAGGGGGACTGATATACTGCCGTAATGCAAGTTACAGGAACTCTTCGAGAACACTACGTGACGCTCTCACAAATCCGGAAATCCACCCAGCAGTGAATTCCATCACAGTACATGAGACAGTACCGTGCAAATGTTTGCAAGAACTTGTGAGATTCTTTGTTATGTAACCTTGAGATGTGAATATCTCATGAATCGAATGATGAATTGATATATGAAATTATTTGAACTTGGGGAAAGATGTTATAAAACATCACAAGTCCAAAACTCAGATGTGAATGATGAATTAAGAAGAACAGCTGAGTGTCCCCAAGCACATTTGTATACCAGTACATATCACTCATATGTATACCAGTACATATAACACATTTGTATACCAGTACATATCACACATATGTATACCAGTACATATCACACATATATATACCAGTACATATCACTCATATGTATACCAGTACATATCACTCATATGTATACCAGTACATATCACACATATGCATACCAGCACATATCACACATGTGTATACCAGTACATATCACACATTTGAAAACATGATTAGTTGTGAAAACACCATACATATACATATAAGTGTTGGAACCTTGTAAACAGCTTCAATGAATCGGAAATCTGTCTTTCCAAACAGCTCTGCATCGGAGGCTGAGATAAGCTCCGCCAGTGCGTGGTTGTAACTTGTGAAAGCAAAGTGGTACAGAGGCAAGAAGACAGTCGGCTTCCCCAGCGACATTCTGTAAATTGAATTGTAATGCTAATAAATATTCATTTGTCAGTTGTTTTTTGCATAGTTTGACAGCTGAATACAGACTGCTTCCCCTAGCAAAAAAGTGCTTTATTTTTCCAAAATGAAGAAAAGTGAGGAATATCTTCCCAATTTTCCCAGGTCATGCAGAAATCGGCTGTTGTAAAATTTGGGCATGTCCTTCTTCAGAAGAAATCAACACCACATTCTATGTGTGTACCATCAATTTTCAGTGGCACAGTTAACGTTTACGCTAGTTATTTCAAGTCACTGGTCCGGATTATATTGATGTAACAATTACAGTACTGAAATGTTCCATGTCTAGTTAGCAATAACCATATATAATTACATGGCCTAAATATCACAGATACTTTCAGCATATCGTAATTACATTTAGTTTGAACTCATTTCCCATCACAGCAGTCAGCCTAATGTGAACTCAAAATATATGAAATACTTGAGCTTGGAATTGTCCATACTATATAATACTGAAAAATTCCATATCAGTTAGCAATAACCTGGCCTAAGTATCACAAACTCTTTCAGCCAACCTATACATCTAGTTCAAGCTTAACTTCCCATATCTAACACAATATCACAGCCTACTATGAACCACGATGTGTAGTGTTTGTGCCCAGGATGGCCTATAGTATATAATGAAATGACCAGGATGGCCTAAAGTATATAATGAAATGACCAGAACGGCCTATAGTATATAATGAAATGACCAGGACGGCCTACAGTATATAATGAAATGACCAGGATTGCCTATAGTATATAATGAAATGACAAGGATGGCCTATAGTATATAATGAAATGACCAGGATGGCCTATAGTATATAATGAAATGACCAGGATGGCCTATCGTATATAATGAAATGACTTAAGTCATACTCAGCAAGGTTGATGTCCTCATTATATTTGATCAGCTTGATTTCCTTTTGTAATTTCCGGAGGTTATTTGTTAAATCACCGGTAGGCATTTTCTGAAACAAAGCAAATAGGTTATATTAGTCAACGAAATATCCAGGTAAGTTACTCTGATTTGGCAGGGTCTAGATCTAGGTGAAAAAATACTTTTTGTATTGAAAATTGGGCATGGAGTTAAAAATTCTTTTAAAAACAGGAGTTTTATTTGAATAACGAGGGAAGTTGTTCAGATGTTTCTGTTACTTTAATTAAATGACAACATTCCATGTATGTGTCAGGTTAATCAGTCCTATTTTTGGGTGTTGCAATCAGATAGGAATACAGTAAGAATAATTGAAGTGACCATTTCATTGCTGTGGGACCCTTTTTAATTACCATTATGTAGGGTTGAGTGGCCAATTTGTGTGTCCCTATTATGGAACCTATTACCAAACTATAAGATTAGAAGAACCTTGATAACGATATGATGCTTTGCATTGTTTATGTACAATTTTTATAGGATTTACCAAGACAGTTAACAATACAGTTGCTATACAATGAGTACAACTCCAGTAATTGATCATTTAGCTGTCATTAAACGCTGCCATCCAGTGCAAAACTGTTGTGTCTGCAGTCTACTTATATTACAGCACATAAATGTGAATTTTCTGATACCGCTTAACTCCAAAATTATGCAACTGCATATGGAAAATTAATAATGCCTATACATTTTAAAATATCAACAAAATGTTTTTCATGTGATATTTACATTGGCTAAGCATAATCAGGAAATGCAATAAAAAATTTCAGGACATATATATATTTTTGGGTTATACATAGAATAGCCAAGCACAATATTTATTTTTTAAATGAAAAAGGCAATATTAAGTAACAAATGTATTTTTCAAATAAATGACCCTTGTAACCATTTACAAGAGGCCCAAGGGCCTTACCTGTCACCTGAGTTATATCATAGGTACTGGCAGCTTTATTTTATTGTTTAGATGTGATGTGGAAATCATCATGTAAACTACGTGAAATACAATACTTGTCATGTAATCAAAGGATAAGAATTTAAAAATATTGGTAAATGTTCCCTTTGGGGCCCCGCCCTGGCTCAAGGGGTTGGGGTAGGAATCTCAATTTTACAATTTGAAACCATCTTCCTCCAAGGATAATTCTCACTAAGTAAAAATAATTTCCTACAGAAAGTTGTCAAAATATACACAAAAGGGTGATTTCCCTATATAAACTATAGCAAACTTTACCCCCTCCCCAAGGGAGGACGGATAGCTCGGGGGTTCTGAAATTTACGATTTAGATAAAGCCCCTGATGATTTTCTTTCCATGCAGAGAAAATGAATGTAGTACCTCTGAGTCTGGAGGAGAAAAATTTGGAAATATTGGTTAATTTTCCCTTTGGGGCCCCGCTCTAGCCCCTGGGGATGGGGCAGGAATCCCAATTTTACAAAGTAATACTCTCATTCACCAAAGATGATTCTGACTAAGTTTGAGTAATTTTCTGCTGAAAATGGATAAAATATATACCGAAAAGTGTTATTTCCCTATATAAACTATAGTAAACTTCACCCCCTCCCAAAGGGAGAACGAATAACTGGGGGATCCTGAAATTTACAATTTAAGTAAAGCCCCTGATGATCTTTCTTTCCATGCAGAGAAAATGAGTGTAGTACCTCTGAGTCTGAAGAAGAAGATTTTTGAAATATTGGTTAATTTTCCCTTTGGGGCCCCGCCCTGGCCCCAGGGGTTGGGGTAGGAATCCCAATTTAACAATTTTGTAGCCTCATCTACCAAGGATTATTCTGACCAAGTTTGAAAAAAATCCATAAACTAGTTCTTGAGAGGAAGTTGAAAATGTAAAACGTTTACGCACGACGGACGACCGACGACCGACGATGGACGGCAAGCGATTAGAATAGGTCACTTGAGCAAAGCTCAGGTGACTTAAAAATAGATGAAGGTCATTTGTTTGAACAAAATTAGTAGCCCTTCATTCCAGCATGTTACTGGCCAAACACATTATCCTATACCTCTTGGGTATTCAGAAGCAGTTGTTTAAAGGTTTTAAACATATTTGACCCCTGTGACCTTGAAAATGGGTGAAGGTCATTTGTTTGAACAAACTTGGTAGTACTTCATCCCAGCATGTAACTGGCCAAATATCATCATCCAAGGCCTTTTGGTTATTGAGGAGAAGTTGTTGAAAGGTATTTAACATATTTGACCCCTGTGACCTTGAAAATGGATGAAGGTCATTCATTTGAACAAACTTAGTAGCCCTTCATCCAAGCATGCTACAGGCCCAATATCAGTACCCTGGGCCTTTTTGTTATTGAGAAGAAGTTGCTTGAAGATTTTAACACATTTGACCCCTGTGACCTTGAATATATGTCAAGGTCATTCAATTGAACAAACTTGGTTACCCTTCATCCAAGCATGCTACAGGCCAAATATCAGTACCCTGGGCCTTTTGGTTATTGAGAAGAAGTTGCTTGAAGATTTTAACACATTTGACCCCTGTGACCTTAAAAGTGGGTCAAGGTGATTCATTTGAACAAACTTGGTAGCCCTTTATCCCAGCATGCTACAGGCCCAATATCAGTGCCCTGGGCCCATTGGTTATTGAGAATAAGTTGTTTGAAGATTTTACCACATTTGACCCCTGTGACCTTGAAAGTGGGTCAAGGTCATTCATTTGAACAAACTTGGTAGCCCTTTATCCCAGCATGCTACTGGCCCAATATCAGTACCCTGGGCCTTTTGGTTATTGAGAAGAAGTTGTTTGAAGATTTTAAAGACATCTGACACCAGTGACCTTGAATATGGATGAAGGTTATTTATTTGAACAAACTTTGTAGCCCTTTATCTCAGCATGCTACTGGCCAAATATCATTACCCTGGGCATTTTGGTTATTCAGAAGAAGTTGTTTAAAGTTTTAAACATATTTGACCCCTGTGACCTTGAATATGGGTGAAGGTCATTCATTTGAACAAACTTTGTAGCACTTCATCTCAGCATGCTACTGGCTAAATATCATCACCCTGAGCATTTTGGTTATTCAGAAGAAGTTGTTTAAAGGTTTTTTAATACAATTGACCCCTGTGACCTTGAATATAATTGAAGGTCATTCATTTGAACAAACTTGGTAGCCCTTCACCCAAGCAAGCTACTGGCCAAATATCATCTCCCTGGGCATTTTGGTTATTGAGAAGAAGATGTTTAAAGTTTTTGACATATTTGACCCCTGTGACCTTGAAAATAGGTCATTTATTTGAACAAACTTAGCAGCCCTTCATCCAAGTTTGCTTCTGGCCAAATATTGACACCCTAGGCCTTTCGGTTATTAAGAAGAAGTCGTTTAAAGTAAAATATTGACGCCGGACGACGGACGGACGACGGACGCCGCGCCACGGTAAAGCTCACTTGGCACTTCGTGCCAGGTGAGCTAATAAAATATAAGATTAAACTTTAAAAATGCCTAAAAAATAAAAATATGTATTTTCCAATCAAAATAAACAACCAATTGTTTTGTCAGATCACCTTTCCAATGAGTAGATGATTTATGCATAAAGAATAGCATATAGTGATATGTATATATGTAATTCTCTTTTTAAATAAAAGATAAATTAACTATAAATGATAACTGTTCCAAGTCCTCGGATCATTTTTTAAAGAACAGATTTAAGTGTGTTATTGATTTAACCTTCTCATAGTCCTTCTTGACTTATTTTGAAATTTTCAAAATTTCACTTCCTAATTGACTTTCTAGTTCTTTAATTGTAACATCCAGTTTGTAAACTGAGGGATAAGTTAGTGTGAAAGAGTCAAAGTCGCTGTTTTGAAATAGAATTGTGCCTGAGGCTGTCATTTCCTGACAAAGGGACAGCCACAGTATCCTACCTGTAACCATGTACTGATTTACCTGTGTATATCTATAGCTACTGGACAGACAAAGGGCTGGATTAATTGACAAGATTAATTGCCTTCAATCAAGGTGTTAAAATCATAGGTACAGTCCAGCAGAATCCCTTCTGACCACAGGTGAGTGGTCAGTTGGTGAGCATTGCCCATATATTCTCATGTAGATATCATATTGAAAAGAAAAATATGTGTCAGGGGTGGTTACATTGCCCTAGCAACCATCTTTAAAATTAAATCTGCCTCTGAAGTAAAGTTGTAACTGTATGATTAAAACTTGAGGTTTCCTGTGAAACTTAATTGATTTGATTTTTTATTAGTATAAATCATGTATACAACTTAAGCTACAGGTGCTTGCACCCTGCAACCATTGTCATCATTTTAACAAGTGGCAATTCATTACTGGACATGTACCACCAGGCCAGCTGTATACCTGCTACGTTTGGTGTGGATCCCAGGGGAGGGGTGGTGGTTGGGGGGTGTATCATCAGCATACATGTACATGTACCTGACATGTATACATGCATATATAACAAAGAAATCAAAATCAGACTAACTCAAAGTTTTTTCTTTATTTTCCTATAAGAAAGCAACTTGGTATTAATGAACTTAATTTCACATCTTTAGCTTGAAATTTTATGTGTATATATATAGTGCCATGCCATGATTTAAGATTTTTCTGGAATTTTGTCTTTTCTTGACTTGTTTAAATAATTTGTGTAAAACAAAGAAGGGAATTACTCTATAGTTGTCGTGTTATAGAGAAACCTTTCATAAAAGGTATAAGATTATAAACAACTTACCACATTTACCCATATCACATAACAGATACTGATCCCCTAACCTGACACTACAACATTGATATGAAATATGATGTGATTTTAACTATGATAAAGTATACTTTTAAACTTTTTCCTCTGAAATAGTACAGCTATCTATATATTTTCTATAATCACCAGAGAATATATGTTCAGTTGAAATTTTGAGTAATCAAAAAACAAAAAATATGTGTATCGTTGATTCGTTATTATAAAATATTCAGAAGAATGATTATTTCCTTTCTCTTTCGATTTTCATATCACACAGGAACCCGTTTCATTTTAAACAATTATTGAAATATGTACTTCAGTCTTTTAAACTTCGATTAACACTGTAGTGCACTGGAGTTAACACTGTAGTGTACAGGAGTTAACACTGAGGTGAACTGAAGTGAATTCAATGTTTTGTCAAGTGCACTTCCTTGTTCACTTCCTACAAGTTAAGTTTGCTCCTAACTGTATTTTAATGTTTTGATAGTTTTATTTGGAACAATTAGTATTGTCATAATGCAGTATGTTTATATATGAAATGCTTTTATACATACATGTAAACTAACATGCATGTATATATATACAGTATAGATCTACAATTTGTCATTTATTTGTGTCTATTCTGTTGTCTGAAAACTTGTGTAAACTTACTCATATGTCCAAAGTTTCCATTGAAGTGTTCATGGGTTTTGGGGTGGTTTTCTTTTTTTTCTTTTTCAGTAAAATGTTGTGCCCCGTTAGTGTGGCAGATTTTGATTGTACTAAGCTGGATTACAGTTGCTTTCTAGCTTTGCGCTAAGGGTGAATATTTCTTTTAGCTGAATCGGTAGAGCGGCGGACTGAAAAAAAATGGGGTTTATATTACAGACTTTTTTTACAGCAGGGGTTTGAACCCCGGTGGAAGCACATGCCACTATATATTCTCCTTTTTTACCTGGTCCTCCGGTCTGTTTTAAGCATTTGCTGCTTTTTGACCACCTGATTCATATCCACACTCTAACTCTGTTAATGATTTCTCTTTCCTGTTTCTAACACTACTGCACATTAGAATCAATATTTGTCGCACAAACTTAATGTGATTCCAATAGTCTGTCCATTGGTATTGTATTGCATTCATGATATAGGCTATTCTTCATACTCAGTGAAAAATAAAATAAAAATCAGTGAACATTCTCAATTGCTACGAACAATATTTACACAGATACCACAATATAAGATGTAACTAGTGGTTTACAATGAACCTTTTTCACACTGTCATACACGTGCAATCAACGTGATATCCAATATATGACGTTGCTGATCAAATTGACATCCCTAGGCCTACAGGCAGTACTGCACATTATTTAAATACCGTCACAATATCATGTGCAGATCGTCAGAAATCACAGAAGCCTGAAGTTCTATCAATAATTAATAATTTCAGTAATACAAAAAAATACCTATAATAAGGTTATAAATAGATATTTTTGTATTACTGTTAGGCCTAAGAACTTCAGGCTCCTGAGTCCTGTGCAGAAATGCACGTTGTACGGGATTAAATCATTTTGAACTCGTCCAATTAAGTAATCAAATCAAGTTAAAAATCGAAGTCAAGCGTCGAATTATGAACACGCGTAGGCCTACCTCTTATTAGTGTGATGACAGGCATCGACAGATCTGTTTGTTTATAAATGGCGCACCTGTCAAAATTGATATGGGCGCCATCTGGCGCTTCCGGTTTGAACAATTTTGTTAATTAAATGGAAATCTATATGTTGTCATGTGAATTTTCTTACCCCAGAAAGTATACGACGATATATTCTTCACTAATAAATCACTCTGCTGTTTCCAATTTTATCATTACCGCAGTTAAATAAGTGTTTCCCTCATGAAAATGGAGTTATTTCCCCTTTGTGTTTATTTTTGTATCACGTGTTGGTGAGAGGCCCAACATCTCACTTGTCAAGAAACCCTGAACATGTCACGTTCTCTCAAGTGCAGTGTGTTTTTCTTGTTGTTTGGGGCAATTCTGATCATTTTGGGATGCGTTCTTATCCCTGTGTTCCATAATGTGATCCACAATGAAATAAAGAAGGTAAGATAATGATGCTAGGTCACACAGGGACCTGAGAATTTGTTACAGCTATTTGGACCTTCTGCTTCTGCCTGGTATTAGCCTCCTTCAACAGGTTGAAGATTCTGCTATGTTCGTAGACTAAACTAAGGTGTTCAAAATAATTTACATGTTTTAGGGGGATTGCCATTTGGGGTGTCATTTTTACCGAAAGTCTATATAAACCCATAAAACATGTAAAATTACTCTGAACATCTTAGTTTAGTTCCAAATATAGCTGTAACAAATTCTCGGGTCCCTATTGGTCATCCGTTACCCTATTGGTCATCCGTTACTGCTTAGGTACACTGCTGATATAAGAATATACTACACATTTGCTGTGCATAGCTTGAAAATTGATCACCTACTTATTTCTTATTTGAATGTGAATTTTCTTTTGGGTGTCTGATACTATCACAATACTTAAATTCAAATTTGTTACTATTAAATACTACATTTAGGATGTGCATTAAAAAAATAACATGCACAGTACACATGTACTGTAGCCTATTGTACTCTGGTCCTTTGACCTGACTTGCACTTGTACCACGTACATAACTGATATTGGATGTATACACATTGTATCATAGTACATCAATAGGTAGTATCCGTTTCAATAATTTGGGATAACATTTGTTGATATAAAAAAACACCAAGAAATATAATTTAAAAGATAAACAGCAGAGTTTCTTAACATCTAAAAAAGCTACAGGTGTACCTGCATGTATATTACAACAATTATAAATTGATGACTATGAAATGAGTGCTGATTGTAAGTTTTAATAGCTTTTCAAAACATGCATGACATGTTTAGACCTCTGTCTCTTATGTTTTAAATGATTTTTATTAGAGGTTTCTTACATAAGATATCCCTTGATTGCTGTTTTGATGTAAACCCTAATAAAAGGACCATTGGGTCATGATCATATTGACCATGTTTAGTTGGGAACATCCTCAGGTGGTAGAGATTCAAAATATTCGTACCATAAAAGGGCTAACTCCCAGGGCTGAAGGCAAGGGAAGGACCCCAAAGAGTTGATTATTTGGAAATAGTTGATTTCCCCACCCTATCACTACATTAAATTTACAAATGCTGAGCATAAAGAACAGATGCAAATGTATGCCTCCAGAATGGCTCAAGGATCTGGCCTCCCCAGGGACAAATATTTGAAGCGGTTGATCATCACGAGATCCTTATAATGACCATTCTATACCCTATTGCTCTAGGCATAAAGTGACGAAGACACTCATGATATTAGAATGGACCCTGGGGTCTGGCTGCCTAGTTTCTTGTTCACAACTTGCAAATATTTAAGATATCCACCCTAGATTATGACCATATTTATGATTGTTGAGTATGTCAAAGAGCTACCAAGATTGCCACAGAGTCTGGCCCTGCTGTCCAAGCAGTCACTCAGACTTATAGTCACCTGGTTATAATTGTAAAATGGTTGACATCCCCATCCACTAACCTATAATAACATTGTATGCCTGGGTATAAAGAGACAAACACAATGATGATATTAGACTGTGGGGTCTGACATCCCCATCCACTAACCTATAATAACATTGTATGCCTGGGTATAAGGAGACAAACACAATCATGATATTAGACTGTGGGGTCTGACATCCCCATCCACTAACATATAATAACATTGTATGCCTGGGTATAAAGAGACAAACACAATCACGATATTAGACTGTGGGGTCTGACATCCCCATCCACTAACCTATAATAACATTGTATGCATGGGTATAAAGAGACAAACACAATCATGATATTAGATTGTGGGGTCTGACCACACCTTTAGGCACTTTGTTTCTGGGGTATAACATGGAAATATGTGAGATCCCAAGGGGTGGGGGACCTATAACAATACAACTGCTTGGCAGAAAGATTTGGATACACATATCCTTCCAGAATTGGCCTCGGGACTAGCTGACTCTATCCCAGGGATCTTATTTGCGAAACTATTACATTTTGTACCGGTAACCAGAATATTTTGCCAAGATTGCTTAAACATCCAGGTGAGCGGCACAGGCACTGTGGGCCTCTTGTATGTGTTTGTGTTTAAAATAGGAATATCAATGAGTGTACATGTCAGAGATCAATTCCAAGGTTTGGGGGCCCAGGGTCAGTAGATTTGCTCTGTACACAACTACACATGTGGATATACCCAGTACATTGCAAAAGCAGGAAGGTTTTTTTCAAGAGCATTCGTCGGAAGGAAAAATTGTTAGAAACATTTTGTAATTTGCCTGCATATAGTGATTGTGCGATTGGAGTGAATTGCTTTGTATCTGCAGGAAGCAAACATATAGACATTGTAGAAAATAACAATCATTGAAAAAGCACAAGGTTAGGGGAAATTTCTGTCTAGAACATGAAATTATTGATTGCAATTGCACTCTACTTATCAAATGATGATCATCAGTGAAAACCTAACTACAGGTCGGACAGGACTTTCAGTAGACCCTTTATACTTAAGGCAATTTCAGAGGTCAAATAACCTTTTCCCTGAAATATGAAGGGTAAAAACACATATGTCATATCTTTTCAATTCCAGGAGTCAAGGCTTATAATATACAACATTTATTAGCTCACCTGCCTATCACCTGGTTGATGGTTTCCTGAGATAGAGCCCGGCAAAGTTTGAGAATGAAAATGACCTTGACCTTCTTTCAAGGTCACAGGGGTCAACTATGTCAAAAACATCAAATTACTTCTTCTGAAGAACTAAAAGGTATAGAATCTTCATATTTGGCTGATGGCTTCCTGGGATGGAGCTCACCAAAGTTTGAAAATGAAAATGACCTCAACCTACTTTAGAGGTCACAGAGGTCAACAACATTTTAAAGGATTTGTTCTTTAGAACTAAAAGGAATGGATTCATAAGATTTGGCTGGTAGCTTTTTGGAATAAAGCTCACCAATTTGAGAAGGAAAATGACATTGACCAACTTACAAGGTCACAGGGGAAAATATGTCAAGCAACTTCTGAAGAAAAATCAAAAAGCATAGAATCTTATAATAATATTTGGCTGGTAGTTTCAACAGATGGAGCCAACAAAGTTTGCGAGGGATATATTTGTAGTGCAATACAATATTTAATGAGAATATTTAGCTATGACTGCTTAAATATTCAGGTGAGCGATACAGGCCCTCTGGGCCTCTTGTATAGCATCCTATATAATTTGTAAAATTACTTTAAAGTGCTTTATAACACATGAATAATTGTGTTAGGTACATGTATACAGTAGATAAAAAGGCATACAAATCATCATCATACATTAAGTAATTAGACAATCAGGGCTAACCCTGGACCTAAAAAATCAGTAGCCAAAAAAGTAGCCATGTTTGAATTTCAGTAGCCAATTTTTTTTAAACAGTGGCCATTCTTTCTCGGCCCCCAACCGTTACGGATAGGCCCCCCATTAAAATCATTAAATATTTAATACTTTTTGAAGAGCAATACTATTCAATATGATGTTAAATTAAGGAGTACTCTGTTAAATTAAAAAAAATGTTATACATCATGTTTATAATTTAATCCATAATGTTATTTTTTTTTAATCCTTTCAGATTACATGGCTGTAATTTTAAGAAAATATAACTTAAATTAAAATGCTGAAAATTTCCACCAGAACTTTTTTATTTATTTTTTCAAAAGTCTGTGACGGCCCTGATTATGTTTACGCAATCAGTGTCAGCCAAAATACACACGTGAGCTCGAGTATACAGAGTTTCCCCATTTTTAAAAACTTAGTAGTCAATTTAGTAGCCACATCGAATTTTTAATAGCCAATAAAAAATAAAAGTAGCCAATGGCTACTTTGGCTACCGACAGCGTGAGCCCTGACAATTATCTTAATATGCATATAAATTAATATATAAAGACTGGTATGTACACGACATCCCTACAAAGAGCCTAAAATGCAGACATGAAGAGGTGGGTCTATATATCCTTAAATTTCCTGATCGCAGATGACCATGGTAAGCTTTCCACAATGTGGCTGAAATCATCCCAAAGCACCGGTTTCCATAGGTCACAAGTATACTTACAAGAATTTGGGACACAACAATGATTCTGTATCTGACCGCAGTGATTGTGACTGCTGATACAGGGTAACAAGCTCCAGTAGGTACTGGAGAGATGTTTGCACTGTCTGCACTAAGGTTAAGAAGAATGGTTAAGGTCAGTTACTAAGTAACTACTTGTTGTACATCAACTAAACTTGCATGGCTTATTTATCTAAGGATGCTTATCACATGCGATGTATGATGATGCTTCGGATGCTGGTTCTGACCTATATTTTCTGCCTCAGTGACCAGGTTAATTAGATTGGTTAAGGTCAGTTACTAAGTAACTACTTCTTGTTGTTCATCAACTAAACTTGCATGGCTTATGACGCCATTGGCGGTTTCTTGTTAATTTTCTGTCTGTTTATATGTTGTTTCAGCAAATACCACTGAAGACTGGAAGTAAGTCATACACAACTTGGTTGGACCCTCCTGTGCCTATATACTTTCAAGTATGGGTGTTTGACCTTGTAAATCCACTAGAGGTCACTCAGCAGGGCGCTACACCAGCAGTGTTTCAGAAAGGACCCTATTCCTATAGGTACGTTTGATGTGACCCTTGTTTAATACCGGTACTCGGTCAAACCTTGTTATACTACCGCTTTTTGTCAAGTGAAATTTTGGTGTTGTAAAGGGGCTTTGTAACTCATCAAGAAAAACATATAAAAGAGTTATTAAGAAATAAGGAAAAGGAAATCTCGAATCACATTGGCAGTTATGGTAACCAATGTGGCAAAAGAAAAAAAGGGCACTGAAGTTTTACTGTGCAGTTTATGTTGGTATTGTGTCTCAAAGATTGACTTATCAGTAAAGATTTATAAAAATGGTGTTTGATAAAATGGAATTATCGAGACCAATTGATGATAGAAAATAAGTTTAGAAAACAACAGCACCATCAACTAATCAACTTTTGGTGACTGTTATAAAATAATCTGTCTGCTAGTTGTTATTTTTACAGAACACCAACTACAGTGTATAAGTACATGATATTTAGTGTGGTCATAGATCAAAACAGTGGTATATATCCAAGATGGCGGACATTTGTGAACAGGGGGGGGGGTGGCTTGCAATTAAGCCCCCTCCCTACTTTTGGTCTATTTGCGGTCAGATACGGTATGTAACGAGGTTCGGTCTATCTCTATCAAGGCCTATAATTTGTAACAAGATAGCCACCCCTTCACCCTTGGTCATTTGGGTCTTTAAGAACCTTAGCTGTTGGTAGGACGTTAAACAAAATAAAACCAAACCAAACCTTTTCAACCCTTGGGGCAATGGGGCCTCTTCAGCCTCTGGTCAGCAAGGCTATTCTAAACTGGACACTACTTTGAATCCACTCAGTGAAAGTGAACAAAATAAACAGTTAGATCAGATTTATTTATGTACATCAGAGTACTAGAGTCACATGAGTATGACACTTGTAAGGTTAACACAAGTCAATTTCAACGGATAAGTAACTCACTCTTGTTCTGTACATGTATAAATGCAATAAAACTTGAAATCTAGTTCAATCTGACATGAATACTAAACAATCAGTCGTATTTTTTTAAGTTGATGAAGTAGGAATTATATCTGACTGAAGTTCATTATGGTTTCTAATGTAAACATTGACCTACATATCTGACTTTGACATCACTTTAAAATATAGAAATTACAGGGAAATCCCTTCTAAAAGTAGCTGGATAGATAGTGAGGCATGACAAAAGGCTTTTAAAGGGAAAAAAGGGAAGCGGATCACGCTCGAACGTGGTAAGCGGTTCTGAGATCTAAAAGCCATGTGTACTCTAATCTGATTGGATGAGTACATCATGCAACGCAATGTGAAAACATAAGCTTCCGGCACCTGTCATGCCCACCAAACAAAATCGACTGAAAATCCAGACTACACGATTAAATGATGACTGACCAGGTAATCCTTATAGCTGACTCAGGTATGCTATATTTAGATATCTACAGGTATGATATATATAGATATCTACAGGTATGATATATATAAATATCTACAGGTATGATATATATAGGTATCTACAGGTATGATATATATAGATATCTACAGGTATGATATATATAGGTATTTACAGGTATGATATATATAGATATTTACAGGTATGATATATATAGATATCTACAGGTATGATATATATAGATATCTACAGGTATGATATATATAGATATCTACAGGTATGATATATATAGATATCTACAGGTATGATATATATAGATATCTACAGGTATGATATATATAGATATCTACAGGTATGATATATATAGATATCTACAGGTATGATATATATAGATATCTACAGGTATGATATATATAGATATCTACAGGTATGATATATATAGATATCTACAGGTATGATATATATAGATATCTACAGGTATGATATATATAGATATCTACAGGTATGATATATATAGATATCTACAGGTATGATATATATAGATATCTACAGGTATGATATATATAGATATCTACAGGTATGATATATATAGATATCTACAGGTATGATATATATAGATATCTACAGGTATGATATATATAGATATCTACAGGTATGATATATATAGATATCTACAGGTATGATATATATAGATATCTACAGGTATGATATATATAGATATCTACAGGTATGATATATATAGATATCTACAGGTATGATATATATAGATATCTACAGGTATGATATATATAGATATCTACAGGTATGATATATATAGATATCTACAGGTATGATATATATAGATATCTACAGGTATGATATATATAGATATCTACAGGTATGATATATATAGATATCTACAGGTATGATATATATAGATATCTACAGGTATGATATATATAGATATCTACAGGTATGATATATATAGATATCTACAGGTATGATATATATAGATATCTACAGGTATGATATATATAGATATCTACAGGTATGATATATATAGATATCTACAGGTATGATATATATAGATATCTACAGGTATGATATATATAGATATCTACAGGTATGATATATATAGATATCTACAGGTATGATATATATAGATATCTACAGGTATGATATATATAGATATCTACAGGTATGATATATATAGATATCTACAGGTATGATATATATAGATATCTACAGGTATGATATATATAGATATCTACAGGTATGATATATATAGATATCTACAGGTATGATATATATAGATATCTACAGGTATGATATATATAGATATCTACAGGTATGATATATATAGATATCTACAGGTATGATATATATAGATATCTACAGGTATGATATATATAGATATCTACAGGTATGATATATATAGATATCTACAGGTATGATATATATAGATATCTACAGGTATGATATATATAGATATCTACAGGTATGATATATATAGATATCTACAGGTATGATATATATAGATATCTACAGGTATGATATATATAGATATCTACAGGTATGATATATATAGATATCTACAGGTATGATATATATAGATATCTACAGGTATGATATATATAGATATCTACAGGTATGATATATATAGATATCTACAGGTATGATATATATAGATATCTACAGGTATGATATATATAGATATCTACAGGTATGATATATATAGATATCTACAGGTATGATATATATAGATATCTACAGGTATGATATATATAGATATCTACAGGTATGATATATATAGATATCTACAGGTATGATATATATAGATATCTACAGGTATGATATATATAGATATCTACAGGTATGATATATATAGATATCTACAGGTATGATATATATAGATATCTACAGGTATGATATATATAGATATCTACAGGTATGATATATATAGATATCTACAGGTATGATATATATAGATATCTACAGGTATGATATATATAGATATCTACAGGTATGATATATATAGATATCTACAGGTATGATATATATAGATATCTACAGGTATGATATATATAGATATCTACAGGTATGATATATATAGATATCTACAGGTATGATATATATAGGTATCTACAGGTATGATATATATAGATATCTACAGGTATGATATATAAAGATATCTACAGGTATGATATATATAGATATCTACAGGTATGATATAAATAGATATCTAATTACCACAATTTTCCTTGACAACTAACAGAAAGGATGAAATTATTGGAAATCAGCTGTCAGTAACACGTCTACAATCACCATGCTGTCAGTAACACGTCTACAATCACCATGCTGTCGGTAACACATCTACAATCACCATGCTGTCAGTAACACGTCTACAATCACCATGCTGTCGGTAACACGTCTACAATCACCATGCTGTCAGTAACACGTCTACAATCACCATGCTGTCGGTAACACATCTACAATCACCATGCTGTCGGTAACACGTCTACAATCGCCATGCTGTCGGTAACACATCTACAATCACCATGCTGTCGATAACACATCTACAGTCGCCATGCTGTCGGTAACACGTCTACAATCACCATGCTGTCGGTAACACGTCTACAATCACCATGCTGTCGGTAACATGTCTACAATCACCATGCTGTCGGTAACACGTCTACAATCACCATGCTGTCGGTGACACGTCTACAATCACCATGCTGTCAGTAACACGTCTACAATCACCATGCTGTCGGTAACACATCTACAATCACCATGCTGTCGATAACATGTCTACAATCACCATGCTGTCAGTAACACGTCTACAATCGCCATGCTGACGGTAATACGTCTAAAATCACCATGCTGTCGGTAACACGTCTACAATCACCATGCTGTCGGTAACACGTCTACAATCACCATGCTGTCCGTTACAGGTCTGCAATCACCATGCTGTCGGTAACACGTCTACAATCACCATGCTGTCCGTTACACGTCTACAATCACCATGCTGTCGGTAACACGACTACAATCACCATGCTGTCGGTAACACGTCTACAGTCACCATGCTGTCAGTAACACGTCTACAATCACTATGCTGTCGGTAACACATCTACAATCACCATGCTGCCAGTAACACGTCTACAATCACCATGCTGTCAGTAACATGTCTGCAATCACCATGCTGTCAGTAACACGTCTACAATAACCATGCTGTCGGTAACACATCTACAATCACCATGTTGTCGATAACATGTCTACAATCACCATGCTGTCAGTAACACGTCTACAGTCACCATGCTGTCGGTAACACATCTACAATCGCCACGCTGTCGGTAACACGTCTACAATCACCATGCTGTCAGTAACCCGTCTACAATCACCATGCTGTCGGTAACATGTCTACAATCACCATGCTGTCTGTAACACGTCTACAATCACCATGCTGTCAGTAACCCGTCTACAATCACCATGCTGTCGGTAACATGTCTACAATCACCATGCTGTCAGTGACACGTCTACAATCACCATGCTGTCAGTAACACGTCTACAATAACCATGCTGTCGGTAACACATCTACAATCACCATGTTGTCGATAACATGTCTACAATCACCATGCTGTCAGTAGCACGTCTACAATCGCCATGCTGACGGTAATACGTCTAAAATCACCATGCTCTCGGTAACACGTCTACAATCACCATGCTGTCGGCAACACATCTACAATCACCATGCTGTCAGTGACACGTCTACAATCACCATGCTGTCAGTAACACATCTACAGTCACCATGCTGCCAGTAACACGTCTACAGTCACCATGCTGTCGGTAACACATCTACAATCACCATGTTGTCGATAACATGTCTACAATCACCATGCTGTCAGTAGCACGTCTACAATCGCCATGCTGACGGTAATACGTCTAAAATCACCATGCTCTCGGTAACACGTCTACAATCACCATGCTGTCGGAAAAACATCTACAATCACCTTGCTGTCAGTAACACGTCTACAATCACCATGCTGCCGGTAACACGTCTACAATCACCATGCTGTCAGTGACACGTCTACAATCACCATGCTGTCAGTAACACATCTACAATCACCATGCTGTCAGTAACAAGTCTACAATCACCATGCTGTCAGTAACACGTCTACAACCACCATGCTGCCGGTAACACATCTACAATCACCATGCTGTCAGTAACAAGTCTACAATCACCATGCTGTCAGTAACACGTCTACAACCACCATGCTGCCGGTAACACATCTACAATCACCATGCTGTCAGTAACATGTCTACAATCTCCATGCTGTCCGTTACAGGTCTGCAATCACCATGCTGTCTGTAACACGTCTACAATCACCATGCTGTCGGTAACAAATCTACAATCACCATGCTGTCAGTAACACGTCTCCAATCACCATGCTGTCGGTAACACGTCTACAATTACCATGCTGTCGGTAACATGTCTACAATCACCATGCTGTCGGTAACACGTCTAAAATCACCATGCTGTCGGTAACACGTCTACAATCACCGTGCTGTCGGTAACACGTCTACAATCACCATGCTGTCGGTAATACGTCTACAATCACCATGCTGTCGGTAACACGTCTAAAATCACCATGCTGTCGGTAACACGTCTGCAATCACCATGCTGTCGGTAACACATCTACAATTACCATGCTGTCGGTAACACGTCTACAATCACCATGTTGTCGGTAACACGTCTACAATCACCATGCTGTCAGTATCACATCTACAGTCACCATGCTGTCAGTAACACGTCTACAGTCACCATGCTGTCAGTAACACGTCTACAGTCCCCATGCTGTCGGTAACACATCTACAATCGCCATGCTGTCGGTAACACGTCTAAAATCACCATGCTGTCGGTAACACGTCTGCAATCACCATGCTGTCGGTAACACATCTACAATTACCATGCTGTCGGTAACACGTCTACAATCACCATGTTGTCGGTAATACGTCTACAATCACCATGCTGTCGGTAACACGTCTACAATCACCATGCTGTCAGTAACACATCTACAGTCACCATGCTGTCAGTAACACGTCTACAGTCACCATGCTGTCGGTAACACATCTACAATCGCCATGCTGTCGGTAACACGTCTACAGTCACCATGCTGTCGGTAACACGTCTACAATCACCATGTAGTAACACGTCTGCATTTCCCCACTGGACGTCTACTTCCGGACGAAAATAAAAGGGCAATGTGTAGAAAGGGGAAGCAACTCTGTTTACGCACGCATGTGTTACCATTAAAGAGCTTCAATGTTTTAAATGTAGCTAAAGTTGTATACATGATTTATACTATTAAAAAAATCATATCAATTAAGTTTCACAGGGAACCTCAAGTTTTAATCATAAACATGCGACATGTGTGTGAAAGTGACGATTAGTTTCTAAAATATCAGTTTGAAGTGCGACCCGGGTGCGGGTCGCTTATTTCCGGCATATTATAGAGGGCCAGAGTTCTGACGTTAATCGACGACAGACCGATATAAAAAAAGTCGATAAAACATCAGAATATAGAGCCATTACATGATTTCAATACTATGAGAAATTTGAGTATACGAGGCTGAATTAACACAAAACCATTGTCTTAATCATACAAAAACAACACATCAACTTATCTGCATGCAGGCTGCAAGCATTATGAGCAAGAGACATGTTTTTATGGATAAAAGTCTTCCAGAAAACAATGTATTTGATCCAGGTGGCCATTGCTTTGTTGACACTGTATTGGTTGATACAAATTTCAGAATGGCACTCTGAACGAACTGACCATGACAGAAAGATTTGATATGAAAAAAATATATCAATTTGAAAACGATTTAAACTCTCTGTAACAACTCATAAATGTACTTTAAAATGTATTCATAATTTGCTATTTCAGTACATACTATAAATATAATGGATTTGGTACAAGCAATATGTTTCGTTTTACATTGAAATCTGCAAAATACACAACCGAATAAAAAACGAAAGCATCATGTGTTCTTTCAGCAACAAAACGATGTTTTGTTCTAAGTTGAGCCATTTAGATATCTTGATATTTTGTTATGTTTACATCATATTCCATAATCATGTGTTATAATATTCATCTTTGATTCACTCATGAATACATAATTCTTTTTAAAAAAAAACAGTACACATGTCACTTCATTTGTGCCTTATTCAGAAACAAATTTATTTGTATTATTTAGGCTTGGGTTTATGTTTTGCATCCATTTAGCTTATTTGCTAATGTCATAGACAAAAATTGACATACATTTTTTTTGAGATGGGAGACAAAATTAGGTAGGGGGTTTAGTGCAGGCACCCACCCTGTTCCCAGGACATTTACCAAAGTGGGGAGGGGGCTTATTTGAGAGAGGGGGCTTATTCGCGGTAAAATATGGTAGGTGTATTGACAGACGAGGCTTAAGTATCTGTGGTGCTATGTCCAAACAGCAAGTTTCATACCAAATTTATGAACCCCCAAACTCGGATAACTCAAAGTTTTTCAACGACCCCCTCGATTTTGAGATAACAAGGTTTAATTGACTGTAATTTCTTGAATATCTAGTAACATCCATTTTGACACCAGATCCAACTGAAATATGCAACTTACAAAGAGTTCAGTATGCATTGTTTGGTCCACGATCACTAGGCTTTATCCTCTTAAACTGTTTTTCTCTTGACATTCGATATGTGCACAATTATCTTTTCTTTTTAGCATTTGGTGTAGTAGAACCTGCAGGTCCCCATAACGATCGACCTCTTCCTTCCAGAAGACATACCTTCCAAATGCAATCTATACTGCAAAATTGTAAAAACAGCTCAACAATTCGTTAAAACATTTCTTTACTTACCTGTCAATAAGTTCAGTAACAACGGTCTGTATATAAACATTTGTAAAAATAGTTATAGTACATAAAACAACTCGCAAATTACCTGTCAGTGAGAAAAAGAAACAGGAATGGATTGCCTTCCTTTCAACAAAGGATAGAAAGGTCTAGATAATTCCTAATGACTTCAGTAACTGCTATATGCAAAAAGATTCTTGGCGAAAACTGTTGAAATTGACAAAATCTGTGTCAAAATGGTAACCCTGCATGTCAAGTTGTTAAAGTGGGTTATGGACTAACATTCCAGATGTAACCCTATGAAATCGGGTCTCTTGATATGTATGAAATTAGGATATTTAGCTACATAAAAATTAGGAAAAATAAACAACAAAAAACCTGTATAGTTTGTCTCAATGGGATGATCCTGCGTCTGTTATTTTACATATTGTTATCCTATTTCAAATCACCAGTCTCTACCAAATAATGTATTCTGTCGTCCTCTCTACCAAATAATGTATTATGTCGCCCTCTCTACCAAATAATGTATTCTGTCGTCCTCTCTACCAAATAACGTATTCTCACGTCCTCTCTACCAAATAATGTATTCTGTCGTCCTCTCTACCAAATAATGTATT